AGCTGTGGGAGGCGCTCAAGGAGCAACCCGAAACCGCCGCGGAAGCTCGAAGTAAATGGGAGTGGATGGAGGACCTCACAAAGCCGCCCATGTACATACGAGGGAGAAAGGGACGCAATGTATCAATTACCGTGCAATTGGAAACCCTAGATACCCGAGAAACACACTCCGTGAAAGCACTGGTGGACAGTGGGGCCACCGGCAGCTCTATAGACCGCGCCTGGGCCCAGAGTCACGCCCTTAACCTCAAGAAAGCGGCCCGACCTGTTCCGGTCTATAATGCCGACGGCACCCGCAACAAGGGCAGTGACATCACCGAATATGCCGAAGTACGGCTTCGCATCAGGGACCATGTGGAACGAATCGAATTAGCCGTGGTGGACTTAGGGTCCACCCCTTTGTTCCTCGGGCATGATTGGCTACAGCGACATAATCCGCTGATCGACTGGGACACTGGGGCGGTCACTTTAGCCCGCTGCACCTGCCGAAAAATACCATTCTCCCTTCCCGATACGGACCCTACAGCCAGGTGGGATGAATATGAAGAAGGAGATACCATCCTAGTAATTGACTTCGAGGAAGCGTTCCACATCCGAGCAATGGGAACTAAAGCAAATGAGTTGGCCGCTCGAGCAAATGTGCAAAAAGGGGCGAAGTCCTTCGAGGAAATAGTACCCGCCGAGTACAGGGATTTCAAAGATGTTTTCGCTAAAGAAAACTTCGACGATTTGCCTCCACGCAAACCCTGGGATCATGCCATTGAGCTGATCCCCAACGCCAACGCTAACCTAGACTGCAAGGTCTATCCCCTCAACCCGGCCGAACAGGAGGAGTTGGACAAGTTCCTGGATGAAAACCTGACCACGGGACGCATCCAGGCCTCCAAATCGCCGATGGCCTCCCCCTTCTTCTTCGTTAAAAAGAAGGATGGCAAACTTCGCCCCGTCCAGGATTATCGCAAGCTCAACGAGATGACCATCAAGAATCGATACCCGTTGCCGCTTATCAGGGAGCTTATGGACCGGCTGAAACAAGCCAAATATTTCACCAAGCTAGACGTGCGTTGGGGATACAACAACGTTCGAATAAAGCAAGGGGATGAGTGGAAGGCAGCTTTTCGGACCAATCGCGGCCTCTACGAACCCCTGGTGATGTTCTTCGGACTGACAAACTCGCCGGCTACCTTTCAGTGGATGATGAACGACATCTTCAAGGATCTCATCACCGCTGGGGAAGTGTCAGTCTACCTCAACGATATACTCATTGCGTCCAAAAACAAAGAGGACCACAGACGCATCGTACGCGAGGTGCTTCGGATTCTACGGGAAAACAAACTGTTCCTCAAAGCCGAAAAGTGCGAGTTTGAAGTAGAGGAGACAGAATATTTGGGCGTTCTCATCAGCGAGGGAAAGATTCGCATGGACCCCGTCAAGATTGCCGGCCTGCTAGAGTGGCCCGTCCCGACTAAGAAGCAGGAGCTGCAATCATTCCTAGGCTTCTGCAACTTTTATCGACGGTTCATCCGAGACTATAGTAAACATGTCAAACCCCTCACGGCCCTCACGGGGAAAGTGGAATGGAGGTGGGGAGAAACGCAGGAAAAAGTGTTCGAAAGGATCAAGGAGCTGTTCCGCCAAGATGTAGTCTTGGCAATACCACTCGATGAAGGCCAGTTCCGAGTGGAGGCCGACTCTAGTGAAGGGGCAATTGGCACCGTACTATCCCAATGGCAAGAGGAGAAGTGGCGGCCAGTAGCCTTCCTGTCCAAGTCGTTATCGGTCACAGAACGTAACTACAAAATTTACGACAAGGAACTCCTAGCCATTATGATTGCGCTAGAGGAATGGCGACAATATCTCATGGGCGCTCGTGAAGACTTTGAGATCTGGACAGATCACTCTAACCTTCAATATTTTCGAAAACCCCAAAAACTCAACCGACGACAAGCTCGATGGGTGACGGAGTTAGCCGAATACCAATTCACGCTGCACCATAAACCTGGAGCTCAAAATCGAAAGGTGGACTTGTTATCTCGACGAGCGGATCATGATCAGGGGAAGGACGACAACAAGGACGTGATCATCCTAAAACCTGCTCATTTCCAAGCCCTCGTTATGCCCACCGTGGAAGAGCTACATGAGAAGGTTAAATTAGCCACTCATGATCTTCGCAAATGGGACCGAGGTATCTCTGACTCCCTCAATCATGAAAAGGGGATCTCCCGAAATCAAGAACTACTGTGGTATGACGGACGCATTTACGTACCCCAGGATAGGCAACTGCGGGGCGAGATCATCGCCCTGCATCATGATCACATAATGGCGGGACATCCGGGCATAGAGAAAACCAAGGAACTCATCCTGTGAGACTATTGGTGGCCGCGGATGCGTTCAGAAGTGGAAGCCTATGTGAAGGGATGCGAGGTCTGCCAAAGGACAAAGGCGGATCGCCGTCCCAAAAGGGCGCCCCTTCACCCGAACGAGGTTCCCGATCGACCGTGGACTCACATCTCAGTCGACATGATCACTAAGCTTCCTGATTCAAGAGGGAATAACTCCATTCTCGTCATAGTAGATCGATTTTCGAAAACTATCATTCCCATTGCCTGCACAGAGGAATTGTCATCGTTAGGTTTCGCTAAGATCCTACGAGACCACGTCTATGTGCCGTACGGTGTAATGCCGGAAAAAGTTATCTCGGACAGGGGGGCTGTTTTTGTGTCCAAATTTATGAAGGAGTTCTACGCCCTCATTCAGATCACGGGGAACCCCTCTACAGCTTATCACCCCCAGACGGACGGACAGATGGAGAGAGTTAATCAAGAGATCGAAAAGTACCTCAAGATGTTTGTCAGTTATCGACAAGACGACTGGAGCGAGTGGCTACCGCTTGCAGCGTTCACTCACAACAATCGAAAACACTCCGCTACGGGTTTTTCCCCCTACAAGGTGGTATTCGGACGTGATGGACAGGTCATTAAGGTGGCCCAACGCCCGGACGCCGTACCAGCAGCATCGAAGTTGGTCCAAGGAATCCAAGAGGTACAAGAGAAGGCGAGGGAGTCACTCGAACGAGTGGCCACATCAATGAAGAAGGCTTACGATAAGCATAAAGGAAAGGCTGTAGAGTATCAAATAGGCGACAGGGTATGGCTGGATGCCACCAACCTAAGCCTACCTCGCCCGACCAAGAAATTAGGGGATCGACGGGTAGGACCATTCACCATCACCGCAAAGAAAGGAGTTTCAGCTTATGAGCTGAAACTTCCGGCGAAATGGCGCATTCACAACCGATTCAACGAGTCCCTGTTGACTCCCTACCAAGCACCTGAATTTCCTAATCAACCACGTCCCGAGCGACCACCTCCCGAACTCATTGACGACGAGGAAGAATACGAAATCGAGGAAATCGCAGGGGAAAGAGACCGAGTTATTGGTCGTGGGCGAACCCGTCGTACCATTACCGAATACCTGGTAAAATGGAGAGGTTACCCAGTGGAAGAAAATTCGTGGGTCAAACGTTCCGACATGGCCAATGCCGAAGAACTCGTCAACGAGTACGAGGCAAGGATTCGGAAGGTTGTGTGGACCGTAAACAAAAAAGAGAACACTATCGGAATCGACGACAAAATTCCTCGTAACCTGCCCATCGAATACCATGATCCTAACACCCCATGCATCACTGACATTGAAACGGTATATTCATCCAAATGTACGAATCCAAAACACTCCGACGCCCAACAAGACTCTTATCCCTCTTCCGAAATCATTGATAATATTGACCTGTCCAACGACTGTCCTGACGATGAAGAAGAAGAAGTCAACCTCCAAAACCTCGAACGGATATGGGAAAATTGGGACACAGAGCCCGATGAGGATGAAGATACAGACGACGATACCTGGTCTTTTTATTCACAGTCACGCCAATCAACCTCAAGCGATGGAGAGGACTCAAACAGTTCGTTTGGGACGAACGAGTCATAGGGAGGGGGTAATGTTACGGTTTATTCTTTTCTTTTCCTTTTCTTACGTATTCACGCTTACTTTATACTGCGGTTCTGATCGGACATTCTCACAGTACTATTTTTAGTGTACTCAACGTGTATTTAAAGTAGAGCCTCAGCTGGCCTAAACCCCAGCTTCGGCTAAGGTTTATTCTACCTAATATCGAACTCCGTTCTTCGTGACTATCTGTCCCATCGACTTACGTCGCCTTTGACTTGCTAGAGTATCGTCTACCGAAGTGCGAGTAGTGATCCTAGTACGATCTAAGTCGATTTGAGTTAGTGGCTAACACACCATACGATCTTTACCCGGGCAAAATATTATCAGAGGCCATTCGAAGACACGGAGTCCATTTAGAAAATGTGGGAGTAAAGATTTTATCATTAATGTGAGTATCTGAAAAGGATTCCTGTATCGCTTATTCAAACATTGTTCAGGTGTCCTTGGCACAAAAGCCAGGGATTCTGGCATTACACCCTCAGAGGATACACGGACGATGGGTGGATGACTCTAACGATCGAGATGGGCAGGAGAACAATCAGACAGTACTGCGATGACAGGGTATGGACGATTCTGCTAGAGCATCAATTGAAATGGGGCATCGAGATAGAGAAGGGTAGAAGACTGAAAGCAGCGAAGTTTTTTTACAAGGATCAGCACAAAACGGTGAGTCCGTACGAGTTATCATTCAAAGATGTGGTTGATCTGTCCCAGATCAGGTAGAGTCGAGCGAGATGGAACCAGCGCAAGTGCACATACAAGATGTAACCTCCTTTCTTGTAAAGGGTATCAACATCATTATTTATTCGCATCTATAATCATTATTCCTACATCCTCGCTACCAGCTAATTGGCAACACCTCAACACAAGTCTCCCTGGTATGACCAAAAAAACACTCGCACAAGTCATTCAGTTAAAGATCCAATTATAACTGTGACAGGTATCGGACGGAAATTCCAGAGAGCTTTAATTTGGATGGAAAAATACCAATTGCCCGTCCATCTAGAGTGAGATTGTGCATTAGGCTGCAGCCAAGGAAAACATGTACATAGCAGTGTGTCCGTAGTACATATGTGAAGTATTTTACTATTTGGCATTGTAGACGCCATCAAATTTATTAACCTCACCTTAACTCACTCGTTGACCAAATCCAATTGTACTCAACAATGACTACAAGGTAAGCGTTGCAACAGACGAAACAACTGCATATGTACTCACAAGGATGTTCAGGAATATAGAAATTTTTGAAGGATCGGAGTCGTTCACAGATGGGGAGAAAGGTGCGTATGTTCTTTTAGACTCGAATTCAAGTGGGTCATATCCCCTATGCATTGCAGATGGCGTTTCATGTTTAGGATCGCGTATGAAGGGAAATACGAGGAGCGTAGACAACGAGGACATCCAACTCAACGAGACGGAGAACTTTGCCTTTAAGAGAGCGTGTACAGTGGGCAGCACGCTGACAGTCAACGGCAATGATACACGGGTTCACGAATGATGGCTGGAATTTCTTGGTGGAGATGTGAGTCGTGGCATTTTTCGAGGCAGGGAATATGCAACTGGAAGGGGAGCCGTATATGCTAGTCGACAACGTAAAGATGACGGTGGAAATGAGAGCATTGGATTGCGAGGGATGGACTGGCCGACTTTGCTTTCCGAAGACGTCATATCCACGCTCTTTGGAGAGTTGGGACAACATTCTCATCGACAAGCAATATACGTTGGAGGGATCAACGACAAGATGTCAGATAGCAGAAACACCAAGGACAATGTCGACGCAACAGCACACGAAGAGGAGTTCGCATTACGATGCAGGGCAGTTTTTGTGGGGCATATTGACGAGCCCAACGGTGCATTGCATCAGTACGAGAAGGAGACAAAACCCATTTGGAACGAACACAGTACGGATAATAAGGGAGACCGTACACACGTCCACGCTGCAGACGTGTTTACCACTGTCAGAAATAGGAACGAAACCTCTGAAGGCGAATCAGACATCAATTTAGAAGGAGGCGTTCATCAAAATGGTGAGCGTTCTCAACAGCTTCTCAAGATTTGATTAACGGGTGTAGACTATGATTTATCGGCAGTCTTATACCTAAAGTACGACAGTTTCGAGGGCAGTGAGTTCAATATTTGACAGGTGGAAGTTAGCATTGTAAACGGACCGACGAAAAGAATCTGAGATCTCGCAATGATGAAATGAACGTTGAATTCACTACCGTCCAAAATAAAATTTTAAAAAAGTTGCCATTACATATTTTTACAGACTATAATAAATAAAAGACACAAGTACAGCAATGGTTGTGTGGCTTAACTGGTTAAAGCCAGAGTGTGGCTATGCTACGGCTTACGAGTCTGCCAGTTTGATTCTTGATGGGTACGTTTTTTTTCCCTGTTGAATCACCGTGAAATTATTCGAAATTCGACCGAGTATACACTGTATAGAAGCGCACAGCACTGCTGGGGCGTGCCTGGTCTTTTGACCCGAAAACCAGCATGCAAAAACTGGTACTATTTTGGACATGTCTTTGGCCCAGAAGATTTGGTGCGAAAAGACCATGTCAAATATAGCGCACTTTGTACTTAATTTTTTGTATCTGTATTTCAACCGAAAAAGAGCAAATGGAAAACATGCAGTCTTTGGACAGATCTTCGATCCAGTGGTCTTTGGAAACCAAAAACCTCCGATCTGATTACTGGTCTTTGGTTTGGTCTTTGGAACTGGTCTTTTGGGCAAAAAGACCAGAGGAACAAAGGAAAGAACAAAGGAAGTGATCCAAAGACCAATACAAAAACCGATCAAAAGACCGAACCAAAAACCAGTAATCAGATCGGAGGTTTTTGGTTTCCAAAGACCACTGGATCGAAGATCTGTCCAAAGACCGCATGTTTTCCATTTGCTCTTTTTCGGTTGAAATACAGATACAAAAAATTAAGTACAAAGTGCGCTATATTTGACATGGTCTTTTCGCACCAAATCTTCTGGGCCAAAGACATGTCCAAAACAGTACCGGTTTTTGCATGCTGGTTTTCGGGTCAAAAGACCGGCACACCCCAGCAGTGCAGAGGACGGATAGTCGAAAAATACATGCAAGGGTCAGGTATAAATCGTTTTCAACTACGGAAGCCCGCCGGCCGTATCGACTTATTAGGTATGTCGGAGTATGTTTACATATATTTGCCCATCACAACTTTCGGCGACAAAGTGAACGGACGTGGGTAGACCTTGCTATCCAGCAAGGTAACTTGTATACCGGGAACGGCCAGGCCAAACATCGTTCCTCTAGACCAAATTGAACTCAACCTACCTTCCTCAAACGAATGAGTTGCCACCTCCTCATCTTCGGGGTCCACCTTGTGCCAGACCGATTAGATAGGATCGGGATGTATGAGGGTATAAAGGCATCTCCTTTGTATCTCCTAGGCTCCGAACGAAGTCAAGTATTTCCTCTGCAGTCTGAGGGCGAGAAGATGCAGACACGTCTTTCAACAGTGAATGCGGCTCTTCGCAGAGATCATCAAAGCGCAAACCGCCGATTCCCCGATACTTCAGGAAGAAGCACTCGCCGCAGTTCTGTTTAAACGCGGGATTTTGGGCTGATCCGAACGGATCACAAGCTTCTTTCAACGTACGGTGAAAATGCCAGAAGTCGTCCTCAAAGAAGTAGGACGGTGTGAGGTCGGTAACGCCTGCAATAAAGAATAGCATAATTATGGGCTTTTTCTGTCAATGCACATCGTACCTCCGAACCACCACGCTTGGGGCATCTCTGATGTGCTCGTTCCTGGCCTAACGATCTCAAAATAACGGTAATTGGCGTGGGCACTGGGCACATTGGGGTTTCGTGGATGAATGATAAGACTGATACCGGCAGCAAAGAACGGCACATTGGAGCTGATATCTGTTGAATATCTGACAGATGGATGCTCCACAGCCGTCTTTTGGATGGAAGATAAAGGTAAGTCGCCATGCATCATGGATATGTTCACAGCTGCTTTCTCGAGGATGCAGGTGGCTGATGGTGATGAAAAGGCGCATGCTCGCCCTCGGCCGCCTTCATCTTGAGTCCAATTGGCGATGTCGAATGGAGGGGTGCTACGATCCAATTCTTGCAGGATGCTGACATTCTTGCTCTGGAAATTTTCAATACAATGACCCGCTCGCGCGTCAGGAGGATCCATAGTAGTGATTCTTCGAAACCAATCTAATTGAAGCTGTGCATGTGAAGTCTGCAACAACTCACCAGGGAGGAAAAAGTTCAGTGACAAGGATGGTCAATATTGATCATGATTCGAAGTGATTTAGACTGCTAACATATATCTCAGGGCTTGCTCAGGGCCGCAGTAGGTGTTTCGTGTGTTTTTGTGTTGCCTCGCATCTCGGTACTTTTCTTTCTTAATGAACCTTCGGCATTTTTCTAGCTTATGGCGACTCTTCTCTACACCCTTATAAGGGTCTGTTCTTCAATCCTTCATATCTCTGACATATTATCAGAGATTTCAAAATGGTCGAGTGGGACGTCTCCTTACTCCCCGGGACGTTGGAATTACCTCCTCCTGGCATCAACTACATTGCTATTGTCCAACCGACTCTGACAAGCATTCTCATCGTGCATTCCTTTACGGCCATGCTCGTACCCCTCCTGATTGCCCTGATGTACCTATCCACTCTGCGAGGACGTCGCAAGCCAATATTCATATTGAATATTATCACTATATCTTTGGCTTTCACCACCGGTGTGCTACTAGACTACCGTGGGGTAAGTTATCGAATTATCTCAACGCCACTTCTGGTAAGACTGACTTAAGTCCAGATCCGCACCATTCTATCTCCTGACAACCCCCCAGGGATGGCTTATGATCTCGTCGTGGGCGTCTTTGGCTCCGGTCAATACATTTTAATCGACGCTATCATTCTCCTTCGTTCGCTGGCCGTTTATCCTCCTGCATACATAGGCATGAGGAGATGGGTAGCACTCATTACGCTATCTGTCCTCCCGAAGATCGCGCGCGTAATTAATCTCTTTGTTTTTATCAGCGTCCTTGTCGATGTTACTAGGAACCCAGTGACTGCGAGTCTCTGGGTATCTCAGATGTGGTTACAAGCACCCTACCCGAAGGTTGAATCGTGATTGATAATATGTAAGAACAGCTCGGTTGTATTCCGAAATCCGTCTCGATTTATCCTTTGCTAGGTATGCTTCCATTTTTTTCCTCTGGAGACTGGTATTGCGGAGTAGAGAAAGTAGGTCGCCGAGTCCATCAATGATATCTTCATCAACGAGTAAGTGATTCCAGCTCCGTCAGACAACGACGAAGCAGTCATTGACATCTGATATATTCAGTATCATTCGCTGAACGCCTCAAGATTCTCTTTTGGATTGCTACCACGATTTCGTCGTTCCGACATTGTTATCTACGGTTCAGATCATCATTATATACTACCGGGGAGTTACATACGTTGCTATCAATGACGTTGTGCTTGCAAAAGCACCGACCGCCGTTGTTCTCATTATATTTGCCCCCGTCTGGGCTGGCTCGCCACATTAGCGAAGGGCCACCGAAGCGTCGAGGCAAACAGGAGATTCTTCGGAGCAGAAAGGGGTCCCCTCAGCTATCATCTTTTATCCGCGCCTGCGAAGCTTGACTGAGAGTGGCATTGATGAGGTCTCCTCTGCAGAAGGCTCGTCAGAATGCATATTTCAGAAGAGTTATGCTAAGCAGACTCACATTTCATACAAATCTGCAGCTGGATTCTGATGTTACGGGGTGGTATTGAATATTTATGAATCACAATCTTGTTTCTTCCGGGAGAAGGATCCGTTCTAGTAGCTGCCAAGCGTTAGAGACTCGTGGTATTTTACGTATTCGGTGCATTTTGATACACTTAAAAGGCGTTATGTAGTACAGTCAGACGGAAGAAATACAAGATGAACACACCGAACAGTGTGGAATCACATAATTACTAGATACTTAAAGTATAATGAAGCGTACGTAACACATAGCTGGTTGGTATGATAGATATTTGATTCAATACAATGACGTCCGTGTTGCTATAGTCTTTATCGGGCTTTTCACTCCCTTACAAAATGAAGCGTAGATTCGTATCCTAGAAGGAATTCAATGACCAAGAGGTGGAGAATAAGGCAGGAGAGCTCACTATGTGATGAGAACTACCGAGTTGAGGTTTCTGACTGTACTTCGGATGGAGAATTGTTCTATGAAGATGAATCAAAGGAGTCAGCGAGAGAAGTTCATTAGAGAGCGTGCGACTTGCTAACCTGATTGATCGAAGCAGCTGTTGATAAGATTGTTCGGGATTCTTCCTGAGTGATGTGATGAAGGCCTGGCGCCTCGGATCAGGACAACTTTGCCAAGCATAAATCAAATCGCTCACATAGCTCATGGCGCCAACAGCTACGCCACCTTGGAAGGTGTCTGCACTTGTTTGACCATCTTTACTCCCCGACCAGGATATCTATGCAAAATTATACACTATTCTGCTTCGACGAAGGAAATAGGCCTTACCACATCAGCAGACGTGGATTTGAGTTTTCTCCACTTCTTGGAAACTTGCTCTCCTTTCAATCGACCGTCAGAACCGTACTTCAGCCGCGTCAATCAGCCTCTGGGGGAAATAGCGCAATACTGTCATGTACTCACAATATAAGGTAAATCTGGGGAAGTAAAGGAATAAGAACAATCTTTGACGCCAGCATATACACATACCCAAGGCAGTTCCGGAATGACAACACTAAACGATCACAATGACTCATCAGCAGATAAATATTGAGGATTCTCTGGCTTACATCGAACAGAGCCTGAATTTCAATGAATCCGTGCTTTGATTTCTCAAAAAAGATGCACATACCGTCAGACGACACCCGGCTGGAAGAGGCTTGACCATGATTGAATGCATTTCCTGTGCGAATAATAAGTAACCAAATGAAAATCCAGAGCATTCCGCATTCACGTCATCAATAATCTGTCCCCGACGCTTGAAGTCGACCGGAAAAATGACTATAAAGGATGGTCAGAGGAATGTGCAAGGTCTGGACAGAATTGAGCATACCTTCATCATAACCATCAACTTCATCTCCGTCCTGGTCTTTCGTTTGTCCGCCATGTCCGGAATCTAACAGCAAAGAATGAGAAAGCGGAAACTGATTAATCTTTAGTGGTATTACAGTGGAAGAAGAGCGAGTCGTGTGGTTGAGCGTTCTTGACAAGCCAGCGCATTCCGTCGAGCATGTTCTTCCTTGTTGGCTGGGAACGAGGATTGGTGCTATCATCGGTAAGCATTACAATATCTTCAGGCTTGTATCCCCAGTGATCTGTGTTGTTCGTAAGGTCAGCATCCAAAAAGAAGACTATAAATTGAACTGACGCATTAAGAAGTCGCGTATATGTCTAGCATCATTAATGCATCCTTTGAGCTCATGGGGTTGTCCGCGATAATTAATTCCGATCTAATCGCTCAAGGTCAGCGCTTAAAAATCATATTGTAGGGGAATGCTTACACAGAGCGCCTTTTTACGTCCGGTACACTTGGAATATTTGAAGCACTGATGCTGTGAAGGTTGCGAGGGTTGAGTAGGCTGAGCGGCGGGAGTGGTGGATGCAGGACGCGGGCGACTGCTATGGCTGCTTTGGTGATGATGATGACGCGGACTGCTAACAATGATATGTTGACTACCGTTATGGGACACACGAGCAGGGCGCTCGGGGTTGGAATGATGCCGGTGGTGACTGCTGCTACTACTACGGTGGTAGTGATGATGATAATGTTCTTCACGGCTACTGAGAGCTCTAGGTGCCTCGGGGGGCACATTCATGCTAGAACGATGAATTATTACACTTTTCAAGTGGCTCATCAAGAGTCCGGACTTACTCTGGGACAGTGCTGTATGACTTGTATTGAGCGCATTACAGGAAGACAGTGTCAACGCTAGACTTACAGAAAATGGGAACTGACAGGGGGTGGAGCCGAGTTATAAGATGAGGCGGCAGAGTACGGGTCATGGTAAGGAGAGCTTGGAAATGCAACAGGTTCGCCATAGCCGGGCTGACCATATGCACTACTTACCCGTCATTGACCTTTGTTCCGCGTTGCAAAATGATTAGCACTCACGCGGCAGGATACCTGCATGGTTTTTCTTTACATCAAGTCAAGTCAACTGAACGGATTTCTGTACTCACGTAGCAGATGGCATGCCATACGCCGATGGTTGAGGTTGATGATACGGACTGCCAGGTGGAGGGGGGCCGTTCGCATCAGAAAAATCCCACATCATCTTCGCAAAAAGCAAGTGACACAAAAAGAGAGGCAGAAACTAGGATGTTGTCACAAAAAACAGCCTTTGGTACGATGGTGATGGTAAGAGGAAGAGTGGTCAGCTGGCTGTGCGAAGATCAACGCCAGATCAATCAGATTCGAAATTTGGCCGACCAGTGACCGGCCCTCCATTCCGGCTGCTCTCTGAGGTCCGGTGTCTCTTTTCACTCGGATCCTGGCGCTCAACGTCGTCTAGCAGTTTACCTGAGCGCGCCGTTTTAGTATCCCCCACTTTAGCACGGAATTCCCGATAAAGTCCTCTGACACATTACTAGGTAAAAACTGGTAAAAATGACCGCCAATATGACGCGGAACAGGCCTCGAGTCGGAGATCGTGTCCGATCATGATCGACCTGATTATATTCTTCTTCCTGCTGTTAATACTATCCTTATCTGGGCTCTATTGTGCAAAATGATACAGAAAAGAAGTCTACTAATATACATGGAGGAGCGCCCCAAAAGCCTTCAAATTGAACCAGTACAAATTTAGTTGTTTCCTTGCTTCGCCAGAACCAAGCAGGTTCTAGTCGGAATGTAGACCTAAAGTCGATGAATTGGTCCAGCAGCTCAAGAACAGAACATGCCAGAAACATACCTGAAGCCAGTTCTTCCTATTGTTCCATTCCATGGGAGTGGTAAAGTATTCCCCACCTAACTTGACGTTGTCGAAACCGCCGAACCGCACTTCATCACTTGACAAAATCACACTGTACTTCCCCGCTTCATCTACCCCAACTCGATAGTCCGTGAAACTCTGCGTCGGATGGAAGTTGAATATGAAAAGCAGACCCGCACGCTCGTATACAATCACTTTATCGACCTCGTGTTTTAGGGAGACGTACGCCTGGCACACCCGTCATCAAAAGCATCTCGTACCATCTGACTGACAGTCCTTACCGGTTGAGCAGAAAGCCAGCTATACTTCTCGTCTGCATGATTCATTGCGCTGTCAAAGTTATTGAGGTACTTGTACCGAAGTAAAGGGTCGTCAACCACGTTCCACTGGCGGCGTGCATAGTGGAATGAGTTGCCGTTACCCTCTCTGGGGAAGTCGAGCCACTTTATCACATCAGCTCAGTTACGCTCGATGTGAAAATTTATGGACGTACTTCGGGATGTCCAAATTCATTCCCCTCAAAATTCAGGTACCCTTCGCCGCCCAGAGAGTGTGTCAGAAATCTACGAAGCGGTTCATTTTCACACTGATGATACAATAGGAACTCCGCGGGACATACCGAATCATCTTATGAAGCGCGATGCCCCGAGATATGACAGGCGTCATCGGTGTCAAGTCCGACATATGAGTATCTGAGTTACACATTAGATCATCTTGACTTTGAAGCATTCTTGGGACGTACACATTTCTTTATCCATCAACCAAAACGCGAGGGTTTTGTCTCCCACGAGGGCCTGGTCATGGCTCTCACAGTACGCCACGCTTTTTTCACCAAACCTCCGGTTCGTAAGAATATGCACAATGTCACCCATACCCCACTCGTCGTCCGTTTTGTGTTTCAATAACTTGATCCACATGTCCGGAATAGCCATGGATAGGCGATAATCGAATCCGACACCACCTTTGTTTACAGGGATACAAAGCAAAGGCATCCCGGAAACATCCTCGGCTATAGTGATGACTTTCGGGTATAACGAGTGCATGGCGTCGTTTGCCTGGAAAGGGTTAATATTGTCTTCAAAGACAATTTAAGCACACATACCAGCATGAGATAGACAATCGCTTCAAGATCAGCAGAGTCGCCGAAATATTCGTGGTATCCGCCCGAGAACCCAGCTCCTATTCCATGGTGCGTATACATCATGCTAGTCACGCCATCAAACCGGAATCCGTCGAACTGATATTCCTCCACGTAGAATCTAAGATTGCTCAAGAGGAATCGCAACACCTCATGATTGCCGTAGTTGAAGAGACGGCTATCCCAAAGGTCGTGTCGGCCCTTGCCTCCCTCATGGAAGTACAAATGATCAGTTCCATCGAATTCGTTTATCCCGTCAAGGACGTTGTTGCAAGCATGGGAATGAACAATGTCAAGGAGAACAGTCAGACCCATGCCATGTGCCGTGTCAATAAGCTCCTTCAGCTCCTCTGGAGTTCCGTATCGTGAGCTTATTGCGAAGAAGCTTGTCACCTGGTAGCCGAAGGCTAAAAAAATGCGTCAACTGGGAGCCATAGATGTATGTGGCAGAATGACGTACACGCGTAGTAGGCATGCTCCATGATGGCCATCAATTGAATGACATTGTAACCAAGATTTTTAATGCGTTGCAAAACATTCGCCGTAAATTCTTTGTACGTCCCTACCCTAGGTTCGGAAGTCGAGATGCCAACGTGCGATTCGTAGATTCTTGCATCTTTCGGGTAGGGTGGACGAGGGTTTTTGAACTTGTACTTCTCAGATTCGGGCGGATTCCAGAAGCGCGCATCATAAACAGGTGAAACGCTGAGTTCCTGAGTGACGCGTTTGATCCATGCTGGAATGCGTTCTACACGTTCTCCTGATGGAAGAATCATCGAAATCTGATGAAACATCAGCATATATGCGAGAGTTAAGGATAAGATGCGGTGCTTACCTTGATCTTGGAATCGTGTGGAATGGCGCAGATACCTGGCGACGACGGAGGCACTGCAATCTCCCAAACACCAAACTGGTTTTTTTTCATAGGGTGTGATGTCCTGTTCCAGTCATCTAGAAGAGTATCAACAAGATCGCAATCTATCACAGACTGCGTACTCACTAAAGTCGCCAATAAAAAATGCCTCCTGTGCATTTGGAGCCCATTCTCTGTAGACGACTTCTCCACTGGATCCAACGTTCAACCCAAATTTCAGGTATCCTTTGGTGAAACTGTCATATCCTCCTTCGTGTTGTTCGATATCGTCCTTGACCTTTCTGAACAAATCATGTCTTTTCACGATATGGTCGACGTTTGGTTTTAGATAGCCATCAACAGCCACGACGGCCTCAGGTGAAAGACGCTTTTCAGGCATGAGAAGAGAAAATGATTCGAGGTGGTGGTGGTAGTGGGCAAGGGAAGAGATGCAACCTTTCGAAACCTCCAAATCGCTATGACGTAGTTAATGATCGCAACCTACACCGCCACCGAGATAAGTATTCGAGACTGTAGTTACCATCACACAAGGAGAGCTACGGACAGCCGCCGTTGCGTTCTATGATCAATATAGAAAGGTTATATTTGTGGGATCCGTATTGAAGACTCGTAGCGTTTCGCTTGTCCTTAAGGCAGCTTCCGGGTGTCCATGTTGGTCGATGGCGCATAACAGTGAACTTTGGTGAACTCGAAGTGCAAGGTTAAGATATCCGTTCAGAATAATGTGCACGTTTTCAAGGTAGCTGGTTATGCTGAGCGCTTGAATAATGATACGTTGGACCCAGCCAGCGTTGTTCAGGTCTGAGTAATACATCTTGGTTCCGTCGGGATATCCGGACAGGGGCCTCTGCTTACTGTCGCTGCCTCCAAGCAATAAAAACCAGACGTTGTTCAAGAATATGTCTGTCGACCTAACACCTTCTTCATGACACTTCCACTGCGTCTAAGAATCGGACAGCCTACCGTCCCTGCCCTTCCCAATTCACTCACGTTCGACGGAAAGACTGCACTCGTTACCGGTGCTAATAGTGGACTGGGTCTTGCCACATGCCTCCGTCTCCTGCAACATCGTCTCCCTCGGCTCATAATCGGTGTCAGAAGCAGAGACAAAGGCGGAGCCACTAAGGCACAGCTTCTCGCTGACCCATTAGTTGCAGCGTTGGAACATCGGCCAGATATCCTCATCTACGAGCTGGACCTCGCGTCGCAGAAGTCTGTAGTCGAATTCGGAGAGGCCATTCGGAGAGATATACCCAAATTGGACCTTGCCGTCCTCAACGCGGGCGTATATCTCTTCGAATTGAAGTTATCACCCGAGACGCGTCGTGAGCTGACTTTCCAAGTCAACTACGTTTCCAATGCGCTCCTCGCAATCGCGCTCCTCCCCCTCCTCAAATCATCGTCCGTCCAATCAGATACGCCTTCTCGTCTATCCATCGTCGGATCAGAGATGGCGACAATCGTAAAGCCTATGAAGATCCCTGTCCAGTCTGCGGTATTCGACTTCATGGCTAGTAACGAGAATTACGACTCCAGTAATCGATACGCGCAATCCAAGCTCTTCGTGGATATGTTCGTTCAGCAGCTATCCAAACGCGTGGACCATAAGCAGGTGATCGTTAACTGCATGTGTCCAGGGGTAGTCATGACGAGACTTGCGAGGGAATCACCATGGTACTTGAAACCTTTTATGAGCGTATTCTATGTTATGAAAGGCGGAAGGACACCAGAAGTCGGGGCCAGGCTAGTCGTCAAGGCGTTAGCAGCCAGTCCCCAGAGCCACGGAAAGTTCATGGCGAACGATAAAGTGACACAGTGAGTTTAGTGCACTATTAGAGATAATCGATAACCGGCTAATAAGACGTCCAGAGTTCCTCTCATGGAAACTGAGGATGGCTTTCATATTGAAGCGAAGCTATGGAAGGAAACCTTTGACGTTGCCGAAAAGATTATACCGGGAAGTACCTATCCTTTGTCGAAATAGAGGATCGTAGTCGAAATATCATGCATTTCATTTAGCTAGAAAAGCCATAGTAGTTATCGGCGGCGGTGAATGTAATTTTGGCTTCGCATCAGCTTGAGGGTGTTGGATGATGGCATCATAATCATCGTGAGAAAATGCTGAGTTCTCACGACTGAGTCGCGTCATCACGTGGCATGGGTAAACTTAAACTTTGCTTCCTCGTTTGCCGAGCTATTACTCCTCGTCGCTCATATTTTGTAAACACCAGACCAATTCCTCGGCGTACGGTATGCATCGACAATCTCCCTGGCAACTATGACGTTACCAATATCATCCGAACGGTCTACGCTAGCCCGGTGGAGAAGATAGTTGCAGAACGGGACCATCTACTGGTTCAATTCTTTGGCAACTACCTGGCCGAACAGTGTATACAGAACTGTAATAACCGTCATCATTTGTCGCTTAGGTTGGATGAAACCCTTTCACCCCCCTTACATGCTGCAACAGTCGCGGCCATCGGGTACCTCAACCTGTCACACTTTCTCAAAGTCGACAATATTCCATTAGACGTCAACATTATGGAACACGAGTATTTGAAACGCATTTCCGAACAGAAAATCCTGGAATACTCCCGAATGCATTTCTTTCGAACTAGATCGAGCGTTGAATTATGCATGTTCGATATTGAAGAAGCCATCAATGTACGCGGGGCAGGATTCAACGATGTTTTATTCTAACCTAACTATGTAACTTAGATGGTCGAAGTCTTCAAAGGTCTGGCGGCTACAGAAACATCTTTCAGGGGAATACGGGTATCCTACACCAACGGCGATATTAAATCCATCTTCCCCGTATGGTACAAGGAGGATGACAAGGTCCATCCTCGGACAATAACCGTTGTAGTGACTCCCGAGACATATAAGCCTCTTCGAAGTTCTCTAACGGAGTTCGAGAGAACTAACCCGACCTTACTAAACGCAAGCACAAATCGGTAAGACAAACGCCTTTAAATTTAGGTATGCAACTTATGATTCTACCCGTAGACCATGCTATTACGCTTTGTTACGCATGACTCTGCCCAATTCTTCGGGAAGATGCTCCAATCCCGGTCGAATGAACTTGGCCTAAGGATCCCCTTCACATACGATAATCGCGCAGACTTCGTCTCTGACAATGTAATTACTGCCGTTGCCTTGGGCGCGCGACACACTATTATTCTTACTATCCCCATTGAGCGATTGGTAGAACAGAGCCAATACCATCTCTTGTTCAGGCAGTTCGGAAACATCTCTTATGTTTCTAAACGTGTCAGGTACATCTTCGTTCTACCTCCCTCTAAAGTATCCGTTGATACTCCTTGATCATTAGCGAATGCCTCCCTACGGCATCCATACGGGTTCAATTCGAAGATATACGCTCAGCACTGAAGGCCGTGTACCTACTTTCTTTGCTCGGGTACCAAAATGACATGTGTGTTCTCCTTCAAGGTTCTACCGTGTCATTTTTGGGGGCCCTGCACCTGCAACCCATTGCCATTGACTGTTAATGGCTGTTGACTTCGCTATCATCTCAAATTTGTGGTGTGTCCAGCAATAATCTGAGATGGACACTACGACCAGAATTTAAAAAACGGGAATGAGACCAACGCCGCATCACCGCTATGTCATCCCATACGTACAAGCAGTATCGCAACGACGAGTTTTGATTTTTTTAGCAGTGAAGTTCAACGTTGTTATGGGAAAACTAAAGTAATATCACTGGGATATAAAAGGTGGCTACATCATTTATGCAAGGCTATGAAGGTAAGTAGAATAAGCTATGGATACACAAGGGATCTTGATGAGTAGCATAAAGGTCATGAGGATAGAATATACAGTCCTGAGATAGAATAGAAAACGTCTGCTCAAACACGGTGCCTCCAGCTGTCGTCATCATCTGGGCCAAGCAAGACGCGAGGTGAAGGCTTTTTGGTGGTAGCTCGAGGACCAAGCATAACACCACCCGTGGCAACGCCGGTAGATCCACCGTTATAGAGGTAAGTCGTGACGACTCGCTTGGGTATTGGCGCCTGGCGGGGGAGATATGGCTTCGAGCGGGACTTGGAGGACCCCTTGGACGACACAGAGGTCATCGACTCATCCGATGCGGAGGAGAAACACGATGACGACGCAGTAGACTCCGCATCTGAGTCACAGTCCATATCTGCCTCTGCCTCGGGTAGACTGAGGTCCAGAAGGGTAGGTACGCAAATGGGTAGACGAGCGCGAACGCATGGTTTGGGTTTTGCCAAAGGTCGCTGGCGAGCGACGGAAGGAATGTTCGTTGGACTTAAGTCAGCATCCGCCTGCCAGAGGGTAATCATGCGGGTGGAAACGTGAGCATAGACGTGAAGGGGTGTAATGGTTATATGGATCGGCTGGTTGCCGAGCAGGAGCATCCACTGGGCCCACGGCAAGCCGGTAATGAGGCAAGCATTATAAATGGGACGTGGGGGGTGGACATATGGGATGAGTGACAGAGATTGCACTGAACGGAGAGATGTCATGAGCTGGAAGCGAATTTTCTGGACCGTTATGGGAGAACAGAAAGGAATAAGCGCGTCGGTAAGAAAAGAAACAACGGAGGAAATGGCGTTCATGTCGATGGCCTGCATAGCAGAATGGGGTGCTTTCTTGACGCAATGGTCATTTTATAGCACATTGACGGATAAATAGCAACCATTGTCGACAGCGCAACCATTGTGCAAGTACAAGAGTCGCATAAGCGTATTGTTGGCAGAGTCCATTGTTGCCTTTTTCGTTTGTTTGTACGTTTGCATCCTTTCCGGTCCGAAAGCCGGTTGCGCTTCCTCACAGGAAAATCCGCGCTTTGCTTCCACGAATGCAGCGACATTTTTTCTCTGCTCTTTCTCGCTACCGTAGAGCTCCTCGATTCTTTTCCGTTCGTACTGCCAGTACAGGACCAAGATATGAAGGCTCCGTCTTACTTCCTGGATACAGTCATCGAACCGTACGCGTCGGCAATCTTCCCCAGGAGTACGATCTGGACAGTGTTCTCAATGCGATCCAAGCCAATCCAGTGGAAAGAATATTGACCAGGCACGATCATGTTTTAGTCCAGTTCTTCAGTGAAGAAATGGCTCAGCGCTGTGTCCGCAACTACGAAGGTCTTTTGTCGTTGGCAATACACCCACACCCGTCGCCTCCGTTGTCCTGCTTTACCGTTGCCGCTATCGGATATTTTTCATTGTCGCGAGCCCTAGAAATATCTAATCTATCGCCTGACATATCCGAAGATATCCTCAAGGACCAAGTCAAATGTTCCTCTGCCCGCGTTGAGAGGTCAGAGTCAGAAGCCCGAGCTCGACTCGAGTTTATGGATGTACATGACGCCGTCAAAGTAAGAACAACCTTCTCCCACTTCAGATGGAACTCTAACAACTTTTTAAAGGCGAAGACGACTCTTATGCGCCTCAAATCATTCAAAGACGCGAAACTCGCCTACGCAAGGCACTCAGGGAGCTACATGTATCCCTCTTGGTTCACACCGTCAGTGGATGACGCGCCAGGTGCTAAACGAAAAGTCGTTATTGAAAATATACCCGACGGTGCGGCCGTGGTGGAATGTCGGAGATGGACAAATGCCTTTGATTCGATTATGCCAACGGTGCTGTCGTCTGCCCGTTTTACCAAACTCCAAGTAAGGCACCCTCACGGTCTCCTTGCACTCCGCCTATTCATTGCAAACAGACATTCGTGATCAGTTTCGGAACTACTGAATCTGCCCAAAATTTCTTCGAGACATACGGGCCACGAGCTAAAATTCGAGGCATGAAAATGTCGTTGGCACAAGATAAGTCTCAGTACATCGACTGCAGTATTCTCACGGCAAGAGGTTTGGGTGGCAACCGGAAAATTCACATCCATATTGGTCGCGAAAATAGAAGAAGCGACGAAGATTACGTCCAGATGTTCAGTCGTTATGGGGGCATAACATCTATTGCGGATAGATTCCAGTACGTACCGTTCATGATCCATGTCCTAAATGAATACTTATTTGCCTTGTAGAGACGGTGCTTCAAAAGGGACTCTTTGGGTCGAGTTTCAAAGTATACAGGGTGCGATGCGTGCAGTCATAGCTCTTTGCCATGGTGCTCCCTCGATAACGGCCTTACAAGGCGCTGACTTCGGGTTCTATAACACCCAGCATTTGAAGCGCATGGAAGTTAACACCAAGAAAAAGGAAACTGTGAATGAGTAGTGTATTACATTCGATGCACTTGGGCTATAGATGGATGGCGATGAGACAAACTTTCTAGAGGCTATTCACTTGGTCGTTCACGAAGGCCGATTACCCCAGATTACCCCCAATTTCTGGACCTGATGTTGTCTGATAGATTCCGCCCAAATGACCCTAGATGGTTTGACAGTTACCCCGGAGATAAAGATACAATGACCATGGTGTTCAAGGAACCCGGGCTGGAACGATTGCGTCTCGGTCAATGTGTGTCGGTACCGAGCTAAGTCCATTAATACTTAAGGGACATGGGAATTGAACGGCGGGAACTATAAAACGCGACTGAGAGATGGTGGCGTGTGGAGGAGATTTTGGGCGAGATTACCTATCTAGGGACACCGGTCTATGTTTTCAATGTCCCTGATGATCGCGTTGTGCTGGCGAAACAGGCTTGAACAAGAAGTCCACTGTTCCAATGTATGGTTGTATTTAAAGGCTCCGCATGCGCCTACCACCGGTTCCAAAACGCGAAGCACAAGGTGAAAATTCGAAGAGCGATTGAGCAGAGTAGTGCCAAGACTAGAAGCTAGATTCAAACATGAACCACTAGCGTGGATCGCATCATTAGGCCTCGGATGCTTCGTAACGCGCCCGCAAATAATTTGTATTGGTAGTGCCTTGGGCGGGGCCGCAGCCTGGAGAGACGGTAATTCCCAAAACTAGGCCTAGAAGGGCGGCAAAAAATGCACAGCATGCGTATACTTTGGCTGACTCCAATATCACGGCTATACTCTTAAGGATGGATTTCATTTTGTTGATTGATGCAGGCGGTGGCAAATATCATACTTAGGCCCTGAGAACGACTTTGAACACCTGATGATGGCCTGAGAGGAATAATAAGACATGGCAAAGAAGCATTGAACCTGATGATGGGTCGGGTAGTGGGACCTCACGCAGGGCCGAGGTATACCTCTGGAACAGGGTGCTAACTGAGCCATATGTTGCCGTTGTAAGGATTATCCAGTGGCAGTAGTCGGAATAAAAATCAGAAAGGCCAGACGGTGAGTCAAGGCCAGAAATCGAGAAAGGAAGTCAGGGTGGCGGGGATTTGATTTTGCATTCCTCAAGCGGAAGGATCGGCGCCCGGGCCGTAAGAAAGGGGCTCTAGCCTCGGGCATTCCATCCGGCATTCCTTTCCTTTCCATACGCTAACCAGGCCCACGCCAGGTTGCCTTCCGTCTCCCACCTCTTCCTCTTCCTCGTCCATGCAAGTTACTATTTCCTTGCTCCCTGTTTCCCTTTCTCTTGTCCAGATACCCCGCTCTCGTCTCTCCCAGCTATCCCATCCAGTACTCCACCACGTTCTGCAGCCGAGCCATACTTTTCTGAATATCACTTGCAATGAAATAGAGCTCAGTCTGTTCGCAGACCAGGATATTCTTCACTCTTTCGAGCCTATAGCACGAAAGGACAGACAGCGAAGGCAGCGGTCGCGCTCGGGCTCCAACTCCAGTCGAAAAAGTGTGGATGCGCCCGAGCCCATCGAAATTTCGTACGAAAAATGGTCTGTTTTGCAGATCGATTCGCATAGCGACCAGCTTGGTGAGCATTAGGCTATGTCTTCTACCGCACTAGAACCTCACTTTTTTCCAGATAAATCCGGTGCCCGTATCAACGAGCTGTCTGCGCTATTAGCAGACGCTGGAATATCCATCCTGTACCAGTCATCGTACATGTGCGACTTCATATTTGTACGCTGTTACTGTTGTCCTGCCTATGCGCATCCCTCACACCCGTCTTCTTCAGGTAAAAGAATCTCGTCTTCCTGAAGCCTTGTCGATCTTCTCAGAAGCGGGATTTGATCTGTATTCCCCCAACTCCCCCCCGGCATCCCCTACTGCAAAGGTTCTCACCCGTGCGAATTCACCAGATCGCCCACTGGCTCCGCCGTCACCCCGACAAAAATCTCAGTCGCCTCATGCCGGTCAGGTTAATGTCTTGACCTCAGACCTGACATGCGTAGGCCTCGCGGATGACGGCGTTGAGCAGTGGTCACTTAAAATTGTCAAGCTTATCGCTTTTCCAGATCTCATAAAACCTTCACCCAAGAACAAAGATTCGTCATGTTACCCCACCCCCATTACCCCGTCGTCATCATCATCTGACGATGACTCTGACACTGATGAGGACGGGTACTTTTCTCACTCTCCATCAAATTCATCTCCTGTGACCAGTACCAGCAATGCCTCGCGGTCGACATCTGATCTCCTATCCACCACGCCCACTATGTCTTTCAAGCCACCCTCCAAGCACCTAATTTCACCACTGACCCCCCTCCGTATTGATACCACCCCTTTACCGCAACCCGCACCAACACCCCCACCCCCGGTCCCTTTTTTCAGCTTTACCCGTACATCGGAGGGTTCATCCCTAACTACAGACGTGCAACTTCTTACCGCACTCTTTCCGGCTCATGAACGCTATCTCATATCTGGCTTCGACGATGAAGCAGAAGAGGGCGAAGAGGAAGACTCTGAACGTCTGTTCAAATGCCTTCAGATCGACCTCCGCCGCTTCGGGCTCGACAAGCATGGACTTGTCAACCGCTTCTCACGCGTGCTCGAGGATGCGGGTATCAACCATATGTACAGCTCGACCATCAAGACGGCTAACCTACTAGTGGAAAAGAAGTGCGCATTGAGGGCACAGGCACTTCTTAGGGCATGTTAATGACCGCATGACCTTCTTTTTGGATTATCCTTATACTCATGACCCACAGCACTTCCGTACATACTGCATAAAACTGTTGTACTAGCAATGTAGCCACTGCCTATTTATCGAAGGTATCCATCCCACCTCATGTAGTACTCCATTTCGATCCAGAGATAATCATATAACGCATGTCTTCCGAAGTCCGAAAACGCGATCACGTCTTCATTCCCCTGCTTCTGTCAGCCATACATTGAATAAGTTACGTTCCATTCCTGCACTGGGTTTGTTATCCTCTCAATCATGAGGCTATGACGCGCCAGATATAGTCCGACACGTTCATATGCACGGCTTATTCACGCGTCATTCTCGATCGCTGCTGTTACACTAAAACATTTCAAAAATGCTTAGGCTTCGTTCCACCAGTAATATTGACCTGGGATGAGTCCTCCATTTATCTTATTTCCATCCTAGGAAAAAGTAGGTCGAGTATGAAAGAGACCCCTGGCTCTTAGATTTTGGAGCAAGTTCGGACCATCCATATCTCTTAAGATCTTTTAGGAGTTCCACTTCCTAGATGGGGTTCAAGCTACCTTTCCGTATACCTCTCTACTTAGCAGTAGGACTGTTCGTTTCGTACTCTATCGATTTCTTCAATTATACATCAGACTTTGCAGTATATTGAATCTGTACTACTCACTTTCTTTTCCGTTCTGTGCAAGAGAACGGTGATGAAATGCCCGTTCGTGGCGCGACTGTCATGATCAGACAGGAGAATCGCGCGATCGTCTATACGGCGCGCCGGTGGATCTGTCAAAATGATAATCTTCATCCATGTGAATACCCGGTACCGGTGACTCTGTACTTGAGACATTTCTAAACTTACTGAGAGTCTGTGGCTTTGAAATCAGGGCATACAACGGCGCTTTACGAATTGAATTCGAAGTAAGCCTCGTTCACTGATTTTTTAGCGTCGTTCCTTAGACCATCCTCTGGTCCATTCAAAAAGCGGAGCATCTGATTCTCATTGTCTCCTTTTTCTCCCCGAATGATCCCATTCCTTGCGCTGAATACTGATGAGATGATTCGACAATTGAGTCAGTTTAGGAACTCAGAAATCGTACCATCAAATCCCGAAAATACCGTTCATTCTGCGCTGAACACTACAGTCTTCTTAACGTTGTGTTGTACAAGTGTGATTGAAAGTATATGGAAACAGATGTGAATGTAGAAATACAGAAGATGTTGTCATGGATGAGTGGTTGTACAAATGGAGGTATAAGATATGAGGGTATCGAACAGAGGTCCAACAAGCACGAAAGCAAAACCGCAAAGGAACAGGACAGGGAGATCATTGCACCTGCACCCCATTTCTTTGGGCAATTTGCTGATACCAGTCATCGAATGGAGGTAGCTCGTCTTCGTCCTCATCTCCCCATATATCCTCCTCCTCCTCCTTGATGGTTTCCAAGCGAACCGGAGTCTCTTGCTCAGGCGTGCCAGGCGGTGTCGTCTCTGGCTCCGACTCTTCGTCCCTGTCAACCTCCTGATCAAAGGCAGCCTGCAAAAAATCAACATCATCGTCGCCTTCGCTCGGGACTTCCATTACGGAGTGATCATCCGATAAAGAATCCTCGTCGTCCCAGTACCCCATAAAAGGAATCCCTGGGACGGCCAGCCATCCGGGATATTGTACGCCTATTCGATTATCCCATGCTATCCATGGGTTTTCGGGTGGGGCAAAGGTGATGACGATATGCGGCGCCCTGAAGGGCTTGATGGAGTCAAGGACCAGAGTGCCGAGGGTGTGGGAGTGGGCCTGAAGAAGTGGAATAGCTGGGTCTGTCCATTGGTACTCGTAAGGGTCATTTATGGGAGAAAGTGGATGAGAGAGGAGCAGGGCTTGGGCGGCGGCAACGTAAGCCTGGAACAGCGTTAATTGGACCGAAAGCAGGAAGATACGAGGGGACATACCACGGCTTTGACAAGGTGCCGCTGCAAAGCAGTTACAATGTGATACATTATGAGACGCTCTGTGGCAGCGGCCTCGACCTAACAAAATTAAACTATTAGACACTAACGCTTGTTGCTCGCCGAATACTTACAACCCGAGTAAACTTGGCTAAGCTGAAAACTTTCTTCGCTTTAAAAGCTATCAGCGGGTCGACGTCGGGTGCTGGTCCTAGTATGTCGGCTTGAGCATCTAGTGCTATTGAAGGGAGGCTTGTTCGGGAAATATATGTTGGTGGTACACATAACCATCCGCGCCACTGAAAGTCTACCCGGTTTCCCCATGCGATATAGTCGTCGTATGGCGTCGATTCTGCAGGTGTTATGACAATGTGTGGGGCCTTTTCGGGATTGACGCAATCGACCACTATGTTGCCTGGCGTTTTAAACGCATTTTGAAGTAGTTTCTATTAGGAGCTTCAAAAGACTGCTGGTGAAAGAGAGTTAAGGGTTAATCGTACGTCATCGGCGGATTTGTCGAATACTTCAGTTTCTTCAGGGTCTTCGAAGGCATGAGAAGTCTGATCCGACAAATTATCATTAACAGGTGCACGGTGGAGTCGAGGAAATACATCCGCACCATGGTAGGAATATAAACAAACTCTTCGTCTTCAGAATAGTCTGAGAGTTCGAGGTCATCCTCGGATCCCGGGAGTAGACGCTGGAAGTCTGGGAATAGCTGACACGAGGTGGCAACATGGTCAAGGTCCGGCCCCGGGGCGTCTAAGACATCGATACTGAATTTTGTGGTGGCGCTGGTTGAGGTCGATACGGCTAAAACAGGCTCGATCTGATCACAGTTGATTACAGCTCGAAACTGAAAGGATGAATAAAGGAACGAACCTGGCTATATACGTTTTCGTCATTATCGTCAAGGTTGAATATCGCTGCGGTAACAGATGTGAACACGGCGCCTTCGTCGGTTGGTCTTGTGACAGTCGGTTTGAAGCTCGTGCTCAACGTTTCCCACGATGCGGCCCGTGATGCCTTCACCGCAGGGCATCGCGACAAAGAGGTTCCCGAGGCATATCTGGGAATAGAATTGCCACAACGACCGACGTCCATCCAGCGGGCGGCGGGTGCAAGCATATCTGTGATAACCAAAGGTCGTTCGTAGATGATGGATGATAGCTGTGTTCGATTGTGGCGACGCGTCCGTCGGTCTCGGTGGCGCGTTCAGGCGAGGTGGAGACGCGAGATATGCGATAGAAGTGAAGTAGTACGATGGGAGAGGTAAGGCGAGATGGAATATGGTCGTGGTAAGTAGAAGAGTGTTGTTTGTTTGTGCGGTGTGTGGCTATCTGCTCACGCTGTAACTGGATGTAGCGACTAAGTCTGACAGCCTTTGTTTCGCCCGTTAGTGCCTGGTATCGGTGGACCTAGGTCTTTGACACGGTTTCTTTGTTCGTGGGACTTCTTGACGCGTCGAACAAAGGCTCGTTGAAGATGTGGCGGTGTCCCGAAAAACAAAGGCAACTCCCTGCGAATTCGTCCAGAAGGAATCGATGTGAGGGAAAGAGGAAGAGAGGTGAATCCGGGTGAATTTTGCAGACCAGAATTGTTTGCGGCTTCGTCGATTTTGAAAAAAACAAATGTGGCGCTGAGCAATGGTGGATGTTGCTGTAGTGATGGGAAAATGACAGCTCGGGCAAAACGGCATCAATTATCTTATCAGATACAACACAGTAGCCTACGTGACGACGTCATCCCAAAATTAACTCTTCTCGGCAACAACTTCATCCGCCCGAAGACCAGTCGATTTTTTGAAATTACCGGTAGATTCGTCGGCCCCCGCGACCTGTATGGACTAAACTTTCGCTCACTTTGTGATAAATCCACGACTCACCCACTGGCAAAAGTCCCTTAAGAAAGGAGGCAGATGTTGGAGGAGCGGCATGAAATTGACGTAGAACGGCAGCAAAATCGTCTGAGAATATTGATCATCCAGCGCACCAATGACTTTTTTGACAACGGTAACCGACGGAACTGTTGGAATGAAGAACTTGAAGAACGGAGATGACGACGTATTGATACTTTGGAACAGAGGGGTGGATATGCGTCCTGAAACAACCAGAGTTGTCCTGATGCCGGGACATTTGTACCTGTTCGGGGGTTCAGCAGAGATAGGAAATAATGAGTTGAAACGTACAACTTGTCTAACTCATACCGAAGTGTTTCATTGAGAGAGATAAGGGCGGCTTTAGAGGCAGCATAGTCCGCTAGAGAGTGTCAGCTTCCGGAAGAGCAACAGAGAAGACGACAGCGTACACATGCGAACTACCCCACCATATCCCAAGGCCGATGACATGGTGACCTATGGTGAGTGTTTGTTGTCAGAGAGTACCATGCAAGCAGGAGAAAGTATCCTGACAATGTGCCCTGTTCCATTCTGAATCATACCAGGAAGGAATGCCTTGAGCGTATAGAAGTGTGCTAGTGTATTCACCCCGAATGTTCTACATAATCAAATTGCAATGTTTGCCTGTAACGAAGGAAAGACACTCACTGTTGAACGTCCTCAGGCTTCAGGTCCAAAATTGGCTTCCCTTGCACTACACCAGCGTTATTAACTAGGATGGTCGGTTGACCTATCTAGGGTTTAACGTCAGGAGGCACTCTGCAGACATGGCGACAGCCCCACCTCATCAACCACCTTCTTCGAAACAGCATCCACCTCCTCCCATTTTGAGACATCACACTGGTAGTAGGTGATGTTATCTCGAAAAGTTGTATTTCAATTCATCAGACATTTAGGATAACATCGAGAGCTTACAGTTCTCGGTTACAATGGGATTAACATCCAGAACTACAACATTCACGTTTCGGACAGCAAGAGTATTGGCCAAAAGCTCTCCTACACCAGAAGAACCTACCATATTATCAGTATCCAATAAGAAAATGAGTGAACGCTTTTTAGTTACCTCCAGTTATGACCACAATTTGTTCACCCCAGTCAAGTCTCGGAGGAGCAAACAAGATACTTCCTTGGTTCCGGTAGAGTAGCGAGCACCACTTGACGAACCCTGTACTCTTAGATGGAATTCACTGGTAGTGAGGGGGGAACCTACAGAAGAGTGAAATGATGACATAGTAAACCCCCCAGCCGACAATGATTGGGTCCGTAATCTTGGCACCTTGGAATAAATAGAAGATAGGAATAAAGAAGATAAAAAAGGGACCTAGAGTAAAATTCTAATTGGAACTGTAGTCGGAAGATGGGAAATGATACGCACTGAAAGCTGTATGAGACAAAACTTTAACGACAAGGTCCACGTCGAAACTATCGTAGATTGGAGAGCCGTCTGAAGATCTGGAAGACATTGGAAAGAAAAACCAGGCGCAGCCTGGTAGACGAAAAGCAAGAGGGGGATGGCAACGAAGAGTGTTGTGATCAGTGATGCCGGCGTCTATTACTGCTTTTGGCGACGGTGTGGGCTGCCCTTTCTTGCCTTTCTACCTCGATGTTCTTCTTCGGTATTGATTTTGAGGATATTCATCTGTCGTACCGGCGACACAGTATTGGTGGCCTTGACTAGGTGACAAGGACGTACTTCTTGGCTATCTTCTAGGTCACTGTCTCCATCTTTCGAGCCTTGGCGGCGAGATCATAATGAGCTGAAAAACGAAGGAAATAAGCTGGATATGTTCAATCAGCAGCCTTCAACTTCAGCGTCAGGCATGAAGAAGATGTGCAGATGTCCATGGAAGGGACCGAATCGGGATTTATGACATTATTGCCACGTTCCAGCGCGTCTTAGTGAGCTTCGAATCTGCTTCAGCACACGCCTATCCCGTCTCCCTTCAAGTATTTCACGAACGACACCCCTCCAGGACTGTCACAGTCGTCTCCTCTGACTACGACAGTCTAGCTCTCTTGGGCGTCTTCGAGCACCATTCGCGCCTTCGTCAACGATAAACGCTATCTGACCATTCGCTGAGTCGAGGAAATACCATAGAGAACCAAAGTGGCACAATGCACGCTCTGAATACAATGGTGTGTGCATTTTCTGTCACCACGATCGCCCTCTTACCTTTTCAATAAACTAGAAAAACGATACCAATAGCGCGACAAGGCGTTGTTCGCCGCAGGTACCACCCTTGGATCCTACCTTCTTCTGCTTTGCTTGACAGACCGCGCGTAGGTACACTTAGACCACGACATAATGAGCGGAAATAATCGCGTCGTTAGAATGGCTGCATCAGTATGTATCTTCGATTCGCCATGAAGTACGCTTTGCATAACTAATGCTTCTTAGTTACAAAATCATGCAAGCGAAATACCTACTGACACATCGAACCTGGCCGACAGGTCTGGGCGTCTGTCCAACGCACCCTCTCCACTTCACCCTTCCGAGCTCAGTGCTGGGAGCCCATCACACCTCATATCCCTAGATGTATCCGGCCAACATCTCAAGACAATTCCAGAGTGTACTAGCCCTGAAATTGTGCGCATATACTCTGTTTTCTGTGTGCAATAGACTGATTTACTTCACTGTAGCTTAATCTTGCATCGTCGATTGCAGGAACTAATATTTCCGGCACCCCTCCTTCCAACACTTATGTCCAGTCCACTGTGGTACAAGCTTTCTCAAATTCATCTGCCCCACAATGCCAATACAATGTCTCCCAAACCAAGAAATTTCCCACTAAGCACTCCGTTCAGCTGCCTATCTTGACATCCTACGCTGATGCGACAAATGTATCTTATTTCCTTCCCCATGATTTGACTGAGAGCTGATGTTGTATTAGTTCGCCGCTCGTTTTCCAGAACTCGCATCTGAGGTCTTGTCGCGTCCCCTACAAACAGCTGCAACCTCAGGCTTTGCAAACGTAGAATCATCCAAGCGAGAGACTCTGCACCCGAAGATGCTTGAGCACACCGCCGATCGTCCCAACTGGGCTCTGGCGCCGGAGGAGACGGCTGACTCGAATGAAAGCGCCAGACCTGAAAGCTCCAGTGTAAAACTTGATGAGATGGATGTTGACGTTGAAGCAGCTGCCGATATCTGCGTCTCCAGGTTCAAACAGACAAAGGTTTCTGTCCGGGAGTCGGCACTTGGTGACGTAGGATCCAGCTTCGATTTCGAATCTCCCGAGCAGTCGAGAAATAAGCGGGGAGCTTCCAGGAGGCGAAGTTCTCCCTGTCGAAGGTCTCAGACAGCGAATTCTCACATCCGTTTTGGTGGTATGCGTGGATTTAGAGATAAGCAAGGAAACTCTCCAGACTATTCTTCGCTTAGCGCTTCCTCACCTGTTGATTGGACGCCAAATGCTTCTTCTCACCCGTTACCAGAGGCTTCGGATGCACCGAACAATTCCGGCCGCGAAGAAGAGTGGCCGACTTCTTGTCACGCGTGGGATATCATTGACGATAGGTCGCCACCGCTGAAATTTGATGACGATTGGGAAAGTTCGTCGGTGGAGGCTTTCTGGGGTGGTAAGGGAAGAACAGTGGGATTCCCTAACTCACAGCAGGCGCCACAAATTGATAGGTGGAGTCGCCCGGTAGTGCAGGCCTCCTGGGATTATCTGCCCCCCGAGATGCCCCGAAGCTCACAAGACCTGTCGTACCGTTCGCGTGAGCTTTCCCAGCAACCTCCAATGAAGCCGGTGCAGAGTAGTAGCGCAAAAAAGGTGCAGACACGCACACTTGTTGGATGGATGTCTCCGAGCATCACTAGAGACGAGATTACATCGCGACAACATGACGATCATCCCAGAAGTCACCAATCTCCTCTGCAGCCTGATGGCGCTAATGAATGGCATGCCTCTCTACCGTTGAGACGGATATTGCCTGGTGACCTTGAGCATGCTTCTTCTACGGTTATGGACAACCGTCTCAACGATATTTCAATTCCAACTTCCCCTCTAACGACACCATCTGCCAGGAAGTCTTTTGTCAGAGAGGCAGCCAACAAAGCAGAGCAGCCGTCGGAGTCTCCCGCAGATATTGTGAAGACTAGAATGTTTAGTCAGTCTGTCCCGCTCTCTCCGCGACCGATTTTATTCCGAGCTGATTCTTGGAACTCGGCGGCACCGTATGAAGCACGTATATCCAGCAGAGATGAGGTGGTTGAGGCTCAGAAGGAGCCTCCCGTCGGGCGCACTGCGCAGATTGGTAAGAGATAGAAATGCGCATTAATTCATTACAAGTAATCATTTGATTCAGAGGTGCCAGAGGTCGCTCCAGTCGCAGCTGATAGCCATTTGCCTATGAAATCGGTAGGGTATTCGATGCAACTTGATGGTGTTGTCCCTTCTGCTCCATCTCCCGCACGCACACCCGGCGATTTGGTGTACAATTCAAGCGAGCCTCGTGCCAATGCAACGACCGCTACCGCCGAAACTCTAGGGTTCATGTCAGGTGTGTAGACATATACTTTGGGGCGATAGGAGGAACTGAACATCGTTTACGTTCTTAGAACCAGAGGTGGAGCGCAGTGTCAATGAGACAAGACGTCTCCACATCCTTAAACCCGAAGAGCAAACCATTCAGTCATGCCCTGTTGCGTCGTGGCCGGATTTGACAACTAGCAAGAAACGGCAACGCTCCTTGGATAGCGGCGATCAGTCTCAAATACCTCTAAACGCATCACGCGACCCCGAAAAGCCTTTCGCTATATGTGAAGTGCCGGCTTATCCGTCTCCTGCAGAAAGGCTTGGTGAAGGAAAGGGCGAGATCGATGGGGGCGTCTTGTCACAGGTCAAAACCTTCTTAGAAGATCCGGAAGTCCATTGCTTCTCGGACACAACAGCTTCTTCTATGCCTGAACGCGGTTCTGAAACGCAACAAGATAGATGTCAGCATCCCGAGCAACATTTGGAGGGCTACGCTTGGAGGATGGGTAGACCTGTGTCTGGCTGGAGGCGTGGACTCCTAGATCAGTCCTTGTCCCAAAAGTATATTCCTCCGCCGGCCAGACGTTTTCCTCCTACGTTCGGAGAAAAGCCTGGCCTCCTGATTTCGGAACAAAACAACGTCTATACTTTCAAGCTTCCGCCTATTAGACCGGTCCCTGGATCAACCTCCCAAAATGTCAAAGCCGCTCCAGAAGCTCAGGTGAAACAGCCCGTATCAAAAGTGAAGTTGGAGGCGCCGCAGAATACCGACGCCACAGACACTGGACGCGACAAGCACACTTTCGCTACAGATGTGTTCACACCAGAAATAACCATACTTACGGAGCTAGGTCAGTCATCATTGGACGCACTTCGCGGCACTTGCACCAAGCAATATCGCCAACGCTGATACAGATTTAGCTTTAGGCAACTGCTTCGAACCATCCAAGTCTCAGCTCATGTCACTTTCCGACTCGAACTGCGTACTTCTTGAACGGAAGACGATGTGCGGCGCTCTCTCAAGCGACAAGGTTGAGACGCCTGACCTGCTTCTTGATTCACAAAATAGCCTCTTGGTTATGATGGCTTCCCAATCTATAGACAAGGAAAACAGTTTGGACGGTATTTCTTCTTTACCTACGCCTGGGCTAAGCAACCGAACGCTGTCTTCTCAACCTTCGCCAAAAGTGGTGGGTGCGCTACAGTGGCCTCCTCCTAGTACGAGAATAGCCTCCTCCATTCATGAACATTTTCTACCGCGTCAAGATTCGATCGAAGCAACGGATTATTCGCATTATCCGCCGCAGCCTCCTTCCAGCAGCTCTAGCCCAAACCTTTTTTCTTCCCAGAATCAACCTCCGACAGCCTCTGTACATGACTCAGCATGCGCGCCTGTCCAGGGTTATCACTATGAAATACCTGGCATTCATTCAGAGTTGCACCGCCATCATCCTGCCCAGTCTTATTTTCGTCCTGAACTAACGCAAGATTTGGTTGGTACATCTGGGTGGATCGCATATCCGAACTTTGATGATGACGTTCCGTACCTGATTAACGAAAGAGGCAGCTTTGACATTACCGTTATGTCTCCACAAAACGAAACCCGAAATCCTCCCCAAGGAGAGCCTCCACTTGTCAACTCTTTACTATCTCAACATTCTGGTTTCATGCCATACATCTCCTCGCGGCAGAGCGTACCTTCTGGGCTTGCTTTCCGTACTCAATATCCCGCTGGACAAGAGCCTTCTTGTTCTTCTAGTGGAAGACAATATGTTAATCTGCAATATCCGATCGCGTCGTCTGTGCGTGCCTCATCATCGCGTCACCAGTATGGCCAGTATGACGGCCAGAAAGAATTGTCTGCGGCTAGCTCTTATCCTCTTATTGCCCGCCAAAATGGAAAAGGATACTCTAGTCAAGACTTTTAAGTTCAGGCTACCGTTTTAACGCTTATTCTTTGTCTCGGATTCCTCGCCCGTACATCTTAGCTATCAAGCAACATTCGCATAGGACTGTTTTCATCGTTTATTTAATTTTAACGACACATGTACTCGGTCGCAGACATCTTGGGACGAAAGCACAGCCACTCCCAGTCGTAATTGAAAGCTTTTTGCGCCGCCTAGAGTACTTATGTAGGCCAGAATGGTGCCACACTGCATGGTGTACGTGACCTACCCACCCCTGTCCAGGGCCAGGCGGCCCATCTCGCGCCTCAACGCAAATCTTGGTGCTTCCCTTGCCTAAATTTCGGGCTTCAAATTGCTGCGAGCACATCAGAAAGACTCAAACCGATGGGTTATCACCCCATGACAGCATCAACACTTCCTGTAACGCTCTAATAGGTGTGTTCGTCGCAGATTCCATGCATAAACAGATGGTAAAAGTTGAAAAACAGCATGTGTCGGACCCGATCTGGGACATCCTGTACCAGAAGACCGCCCAAAGGAAGTCAGTACAATTCAACTTAAGTTGTTCAATGTCGTTCTCACCCACGTTATTGACGAAGCCAAAGCATCGAGTCGATCTGGACATGAAAGTTAGAGTCGTACTCTTTGCTGTGTCGGGTAATCTGAACTGATTGCTTCGTCTGTCCGTGCCTCATCATCGCGTCACCAGTTTGGCCAGTACGATACCGTTTCGCACGACAGGCCAGAGGGAATGGTCTGCGGCTAACCCTTGTCCTCTTCTTGCCCGCCAAAATGGACAAGGATACTCTGGTCAAGACTTTTAGGATCAGGCTACTGTTTTTCCGCTTACTCATTGTGTCGGATTTCTGGCCCCGGTTAACGGCGTTTACACCCTAGCTATCAAAGCATGACATGCACACGCAAAATTCGCATAAGATTGTTTCCATTATCCAATTAACGACACATGTTCTCGGTCGCAAACACAAACTCCAGGCTTGGGACGATGTTGCTACGTACAGAGCGGCTTTATTTCGAAGTCTCTCGTCACCATTAAATTGCAATACTACTGGCGCCGTCGGAGATCGGCCCGGGAGGTGCTCATCTGTGAAATCAGTTGAAGCGGACCCGCAGAATCTTAAGGTTTGTGCCTGCTCTTTGGCTTTCGGATGTCAGAGCTTCTTTATATACATTCGAACTGAAGCTTTGGACCAGATACCATCGATGACTGGTGATAACCATAATCTAATCAACGTTCTACTGGGCACACTGATCGAAGTGTTCCATGAAAAATTTTAGTCATAACTTATGAAAGACCCGTGGTGGATTATGAAGGGCCTATAATGAGTCCCACGGGTTTCCCTCGCTGTTTTACGTCTTTATCACACCTTTTTAAGTTCTTCCAAGAGAACGAAAAAATCTGTCCGCAGAATTATCCTCAAGATCCATGTTGATCTCCCCTGCAAAGATGCAAGTTCCACCTTATGCTGCTTATGCCTCCATCGCCTCCATCAGCGCCTACGTATATGGGTAAGTCAATCAAACAACTTGTGTCGCGAGATTAACTATATTCTATCTGTCTTCACCAAATTGCTTTGCTAGCTTTGATACAGGATCTATTGGTATTTACCATTCTTCCCGGATATCTATTCATTTTTTGATAAATTATGCAGGTCCAATTACTCTGATGGATGACTTTGGGAGGACCTTTGGTACTTTGGACTCAACCGTCCAAGGCCTCCTCGTTTCAATCATCCTAATCCCAGCGGCCATCGTTTCCTTCGGTTCCGGCTCAATTGCAGACCGTCTTTCCCGGACGCATGCAATCTGTCTCGGATGTGCAATCTATGGCCTTGGATCACTTGTCTGCAGCCTATGCGGCTTGTATTCTCAATCTCAGAAGTCCGCTTTGGTAATGTTATTCTTTGGACGATGTATATGTGGTGCTGGTGAAGGTGTTTTCCTAAGCGCCGTCACCATATATACAATCGAAGTTTCGCCGGTCCATGCTCGCGGAAGAATGGGTTGCATTGTCCAGCTTTTCATCTGCATCGGTATAATGGCGGGGTATTTTGTTTGCTATGGATCCATTAACATTCAAGGCTCTTTCTCATGGAGACTTCCATGGGTTCTTCAATGCTTCACATGTGCGAGTTTGGCAATGGCCGTTCGATTTATTCCTCATTCACCTAGATGGCTTATGCTCGCCGGGAGAAGGGATGCCGCCCATGCAGCGATGAGGCGATTGGGGATCGATGAAGATGTGCTCTTCGGTATCATTGAAGAAAAGCTCAACAATGAACAGGGCCGTGAGAAATCGATGGGCGGATGGAGACAAAGTATCAAGCAGTTCAAAGAAGCTTTTGCTCCTGAACTGCGGGGACGGACGATATTGGCGTTATTCATGCTGGGAGTCCAGCAGTTGGCTGGCATAGACGGTCTCCTCTACTATGCTCCCGTGCTCTTCAAGCAAGCAGGACTGAGCACTGAAAACGCGACTTTCCTCGCAAGTGGTATAACGGGTATTGTGAACGTTGTCTTCACTATCGTCGGTCAAACTCTATCCGACAAGTGGTAGGTCGTCCATCTTTCTATGATTCTTACATCAGTCTTATCTGTGCCTAACCAGGGGCCGGGTCCCATCTATCATGATTGGAGGTGTCTTCATGGCCCTCGCGATGACCATCATTGGAATTCTTTATTCGCTCCCTTCTCTCAATCGGAGCGGTCAATACGCCGTAATCGCCTTCATATATGTATATGTCATTGCATTCATCATGTCCTGGGCGATTCTTATGCGTGTCTGGGTATCCGAATCACAACCCTTGCGTACTCGCGCGACCGTGTCTTCGTTGGCGCTGACCCTCAACTGGGGCGTCAACTTCGTGATCGCATTTACCACTCCAGTATTCTTGGGGCACGCTCCTTCAGGACCGTATTTCCTGTGGGGCGCCGCAACGTGGTTCGCGATCGGTATATTCTGGGTGTGGATGCCGGAGACAAAGGGTACAAGCATTGATAGAGAAGGTCAGGACCTATCATTGAAGGCCAGGGTCCCTTGGGCGAGGTTGCAGCGTGGAAAGGATAAGAATAAACCGGAAATCAAAAGACCGCCATATTCGAGACGGGGTACGTCGTGGACCTTGGCAGGTGACGAGGTGGAGAACAAAGATGATACAGTCGCTCGTTTGGATGAAGAGGTGCTGTGATGAGGATTAAATGTGTGGAGTACACGTTGTACGCCTTACTATACGTTTCATTTCATTTTTGTATGTCATATGTTTGAGGCTCGTGGATTTCATTATGGGGTTATAAAATGAAACGTTTCAATAATGGGACTATAGCGGGATGGAAGGAGCGATCCGCGGTTGTGGACCTACGAGGACCTATAGCAAGTGCCTGTTTCACCTTGCAGAGCATTAGATACATATCTGTTAACAATGTGACCAAAGATATACATTATTCTTCATTACTAGAGTTGGAAAATGGATTGCTCTGGAAGATGCCGACAAGAACGCTGGTCTGATTATACGAGGGTTTGACAATCAGATCGAGGCATTTACTATTAGTCTGTCCGCATCTTAATTGCGTTAATGTACCTCGCATGGGCGACATCTCCAGTTAGAACTGACTGTAGTGAATCCTTGTTTCGTGACCAGTGAAAAGTATAAGGATGTCGGGGGTCATTCGGGAGTTATCTTCAAAAAGACAAGTTCAGCGCGTCTCAGACTAGTTAATATGTGGGGTGGGACTTTGATAAGCATCTGTTAAATCTCGGTGTAGTTGAGGTTCAGGGCAAGGTCAAGTGCCTGGATCTTCAAACTTGACAGCATGTTTGGTATCCTTGGCAAACGGATTTCAACAAGATCTCAAGGAAGCAACGGACGTACCTGGTCTCGACGAGAAATCTCGCAAAAGGTCAACAAGTACAAGGCATTGAACACTAGGTATACGCTAGGTAAGCTTAGCAGTGACAATAAGACAAAGCAAAGCAAATGAAGGAGGGTTGGCAAGAAATAGCAAGATATACGCATGAACAAGTCACGGACAACCAGGACCGTGAAAACAGGCTGGCATCTAGCGCGGTCTGACAAGAAGAAGAAACGGCTATGGAGCATTGGTCGGTGCCTCACAGCCAGGTGGGGTCATAAGAATCAGACTTGGACATTGTCCCTAGATGAAAACAAAGATCAGGAGACGGCGCGGAGAAAGAAAAACCGAAGCGTACGTGGCCTCGCCGATCACGTTGCCCGCTGGGTCGTACAAACAGACCACGAGCGTCTGTGAACCCCCATTGTCAAAAATGCCATTACAGGCCGTGTTTCGTGCGCATCCTAGCTCCGTAGTAGACTTCCACACAACTTGGGTAAAATGGTTCAGGACATCAGAACCATCGGTGTAGTCCGCTGTATGTTCAACACATGGCGTGAGCATCCGGATCACCAGGAAAGAAGAACGTCAACACGTACCTTCATCAGCTACGAACGAATTGATGGCAGTTTCAATGGAAACGTCCCCTGAACCCGCAACTATGATTTCGCCGTACGAAGTGTCGAACAGCTGGCCATCGGTTGCTCTGAATTCGCACTGATTAACCCACGATTGGGCTGCATCGGCAAGGGTGTAAGACCATGTCAGCAAATTAGCTCCATGCTGGATGCGGATGGCATTATGAGCGGACAGAAAGGTATATGCATCAGACCAGGATGTGTCCCGTCTCGACGCGTGGCGCCTCTGAAGATGGGCAGACACAACTGGCATATAAAGAAAAGACAGAATAGTAGCAACAGCTACGATAAGGAAGGAACGTTGGGCGATGAAGATCATGTCGGGTGTAATGAACGTAAAGCGCTGGCTCGAAAGCCGCTGTGAGGTAGGTGGTGTGAGGAGAAGGCGTGGAAGATTGTTCTCTTCGCCTTGGCCTGGAAAGACGTGTTGATCAAGGTGTCATGTGAGGAACAGTCCGAAAAGATTCATCCAGTTGTAACTTGTTTCCCTGGTGATGGTGGATGATCGTACGTCCACCTCGCCAAGGACCCGGATCCGGCGGATAATGAGACCGACGCTACACGAAGATAACGCAAAGAAAACAAGAGGTTATTTGAGGAAAATAATTCTCCCTTCCGGACAGGATTCACCATCGTGAGTGAAGAACATTCACACGTCATGACGGAGACAGTACAGGGTTCTTTTTCACAGCTTTGAGGAACAGAATGCTGGGGAGCGACTGGGATAAACTTTGGCAGTATAACGGGGATTCATATGGAGTCAAAAAAGATACGTTATTTCGTAACATACGCACCGACACTTCGCATAGAATGAGATCGGTCTGAAATATTTGAGATCAACGGAATAATGTCACGATTAAGGTCCAGCGACAGGTCTGATTTTGTACAATTCTTTGAACGCGTCAAGCTCCTTCTCTTTCGTTTTGTACTGCTCAGCAAGATTACCCACGGCCTGAAGTATCTGTCAAGTCGGAGTCATCTGTAGGCTGTCGTACCGGATATAAAGACGCACATACCCCGTCTCTATTCATAGAAAGAGCAGGGACGACATCCCTTACGGTCCGTTCGACCAGAACACCTCCGATAAGGCGGAAGCATTTGCGATCCGGTTCTTCTGTCAGTGCTTCATTGAGCGTCGTGAGTACAAGCCTGGCAGCCCACCATCAGAAATCAGCAGTCTTGGATAAGCTTATCTCACACACCCATGTTCATCAGCCTCCGATTCCAGTTCGCCAATTTTTCCTGCAAGGTTTCGAAGATCGCTTTGGTACCGATTAAACGTCTGCAGGATCTCTGGCTAATCCACTTTAGTTACCAGCAGAAGTGCAGGACCATATACGACATACCCTGCTCTGATAGCTGGGGAGGCTTCGTTTTCGCCTTGTTGACTGACATAGTGGTAGTCCAGGTCAGAGATAGCCTGTTGATGAATTCTGGTTACGCCATTGGCTGGGGTCACGTCACGCGTCGTGACCCTCAGACTTCCGTGTCACGCCAGGTCTCGGAGTTGCAACGTCGACCATGTCCTTCGCTCGTGGACGCGCCTTTGGCGCCCTCCAGTCTTCTCTCAGATTGTTGAAGGCGTCTTCATCGACACCTGCTCGTTCTCTTCCTATAACTCGTCGACCCTTGTCAACATCGGCATGTATACGCCAGCTGCATGGCCTGAAGGCCAACAATACCGACCTCGAGAGTGACATGAAGCATTTGCACCACCATCGGAGTCATGACCCCAAACTGTTCGACGAGGCTGGTCGTGACCTAAATCCGTACAGACAGGGTCCCAGTGCCGTTGACAAGGCCGTACATTTGTTCTTCCTTACCGAGATCGTGAGAGGTGCGTTAGATAGACTTGGAAAATAGGTTGTTCAATAATGGCTGCCTAGGGATGTGGATTGTCTTGGAGAACTTTTTTCGCCAACCGTACACTATCAAGTATCCTTTTGAAAAGGGCCCGCTATCACCGAGGTTCAGAGGAGAACATGCTTTGCGCCGCTACCCCAGTGGTGAGGAGAGGTGTATTGGTAAGAGGACGCTTCGTCTTCCATTCTAACGCTACTGACTTCATATCCGAACCAAAGCTTGTAAGCTTTGCGAAGCCATTTGTCCCGCCCAGGCCATTACCATTGAAAGCGAGACTCGAATGGACGGGTCAAGGCGAACAACGAAATATGGTCCGTAGCCTCCACGAATCATGAACCTCGTTTTATGCTCATGCTCCACTCATAAAGATATCGACATGACGAAATGTATCTACTGCGGCTTCTGCCAGGAAGCTTGTCCAGTGGATGCCATTGTTGAAAGTAAGTTTGGTTGGTTGCTTTGGATACTCGTCATCTGAGCTTATTGTCTGTAAAGCTCAAAACCAAGAATTTGCTACGGAGACGCGCGAAGAGCTGTTGTATAACAAGGAGAAGCTTCTTATGAACGGGGACAGGGCCGAGGCTGAGATTGCTGCCAACCTTTATTGTGCGTTCATCTGCCTTTCTTGAGTATGCATCTTCTTATACTGGGTTCCATGTATTCAGCCGAACACGTCTATCGGTGAAAAGCAGGCCTTGTCTGACGGGGTAGCGGGGTAGCTAAGCAGGTGGTGTAGTCTAATATATCAATCCATAAGGATACTGGACAACTGTTGACTGATGAGCGAACCTTTCTCGATACTCAAGTAGGGAGATGAAGTCTATGAGCGGAAGTTCGCTCTTTCCTTCTTTCGGCGACCAAACCAGCCAATCATATTCAAGGTAATGCAATGCCGCCAGAGAAATTGCCGCCGTCAAAAAATTTTCCACACTTGCTCACCAGACACGAATACATACAGCTTCACCGCCCATTGTCCCTATATTCATATACAGGGCTGTCCAAACACTAATTGGTCCATTTCTAATGGAATAATCCAATCATTTTAAGTCGGCTAGAACCGACGGGTACTACCCTAGGTACTTATTCATTGCGTTCTCGCTGTAAAGAAATGATGCTGATATATTCGTTTCTCTCATGCACTATCAGTGTGACTCGCTGAGCTGGAAATTTCTCATACATAGCCTGCCGTGCTCTGGCCTCCCCCTACCGATATATCAGACAAGTACGATCAACCCAACCGCGTGTATACCCGCCCTAAATAGATCAGCAGCTGTGGAGTTCCAAATACGACGGCTTCCCAATACTCCTCGGAAGAACACCGATCATTGATACGTGGTATACGCCACCGCCTGGAGTGGGAACCACTGTCGATGATAAACAGTGCTCGCCAGGAGTAGATTTAATCTAGGTTTTTGGTCTCACCAAAGTCTGCTTTGAGACCTATGGCTCCTTTACAGACTTGGGGCCATTCATATTCGACCCATCTGCCGCCTTCTTGACCACCGCTTACCACAAATGGATTTGCACCTCATTCTTGATTCCAACTCTATTGGGAATGCAGAGAATCCGCGTCTGAAGAAGTTCCGAGGTGTCAAGTATCACAAGTACGTTCCGTTCTCCTCAATACAGTATGTTATCTATCTCCTTGCTCACTTGCAACCACGGCAGATCTTCCGTAAACGGGACTCCCCGCCGTCGAAGTCTGCGTGCCCAAGAATCCATTCCCGAATACTCCTTGAAGTCATCTATCAGGAAATCAACTCGTCGTACGCGTGCTACGATGTGCAGCCCCCTATCAGCACAGCAGAATCACAGTCCATTTGACAGTGAGCATCCCACGCGCACTACTAATAGACCCCATATGTCAAGTCTTGGGAAAGCCTCTGGTGTGCAGTCAGGTAGCACTACTAGCACCTGTTCCGTAACACACGATCGAGCATCGTCATCGGCTTCTCCTCCATTGTCCACCGCCACCTCTAGTGGTCTGTCCCGGGTCCGTCAACAGCTAGAGCGAGAAACAGCTCGCCTCGGTCGAAATCTCTCCATTATGGATTTCGTACTAGATTCGAAATCTCCCTGGGCAGATTTCTCGGAAGAGATGCTCCTAGAGATTGCGATCCGCAGTCATCTGTACACCCCCTCGCGCAGCGATTACGCGTTCGGGGACGAGCATAGCTTGAAGACCTACTGGGATGAGCAGGCGTCGATCTGGACCGGCGTTCAAGATAGCCAGACTCTTTTTGGAACGACTCGGTTTCCGGATTCCTGCGAGCGCTCCACTGTTTCTGTTCATGTCGCCAATGGGTAAACATTGCAACTGAGGCACCAACTATACGGGAAGGATCCTAGCTAGATATGCGAATAGTACGGCCGTAGCTTCGGTATTGAGGAGGGCCACCACGGAATGTCATATGTGCTTCTTCTTGAGCTACCAAAAGGGTGTCCTGGGGTCTTGCCACTAGTCAGGCATCTTCGTATCGTTGTTCCATCCGGCTACTTACTCAAGGCGAGTGTACCTCGCTAAATTGTCGCGGGGTCTAGGCTCGGACGTGAGATCCCGCGCTGGCATCGGTTGCTCCGTTTCGTAGTCGCAGCGCTGGTCACCACTGCTCGGCCGTAGCGTGTCTCCAGCGAACAATTATGATAAATGAAACTGGTACCATTACGCCACACAGTGCCTACGTCATGAGCATAAGGTTTTTAAAGTGAAAATGACGTTCGTGGGTGGACGATGTATCTCTGAGACGTTTACTCAACCCTTGTATGAAGAATAGGAAGAGAACTCTTGTAGATGTACATACTACAGAAGAATTGCACGACAACGAAAATAGAAAGACAGACCCTGATTATCGTACCTAATGTCCAAACAGAACGGTCAGAGGCTTTCAAGGCCCCATACGGTCGTCATCCTGGTCCTCACCACCCCGTACGCGCTCCCTGTGATAACGTTTGGCACCCCTATCCTGCCCGGGATAGAGACCTCCCATGGCAGGATCATCAACATCCATCATATCTACACTTCGCCGTTTCCTAGCGTCAATCCTAGCGGAGGACCTTCCTTGTTCCGAAGGTGTATAAACGCCACCGCCGCCTCCACCACGATCTCTAGACTGTGACCTCCCGTCTTCGTGTACAAAGTCCAATTCTTCCTGAGGTGGGGCTGACGGCGCTTGTGCTTGACTGACCGGGCGCAACCTAAACGATCGCGGTCGATCGTGGTCATAGTACTGGCCGCGAGAATCCGGACGAGAGGGACCGTCAGCCCCACCAATGCCAGAGCCTGAACCACCTGATCCTGAGCCAGGAGTCTCGGACCGAGAGTGCATTGGATAGCCAGGACCCGCGCTCGCACTGCTACCTGACATTTCATGGTAATATCCTGGTTCTTCGCGCATACGCGACGTGTGATGGTCTGTGTATTCCATAGAGTGTCTGGAGGACCGATGGACCACTGGAGGTGAGTGCATGTGAGCAGGACCCATCTCAGCTTCCCGGCCACCGCGCATCATATCGCGACGGTCACGTTCTCTTATCTCCCACTGCCGTTCCGCATCGTATTCAATCTCGCGTTGACGGTCCCGATGATCCTCTCTGTTGATGTACGTGCCGGGACCGAGACGCTGGTGGTTGTGCACTCTGCTAGAAGAAGACCGGGTATCAGACGAATGCGAACGAGGAGATAGCGGGCCCATAGCATGATTGTGTATATCACCATGAGGAATAGCTAGTTCGTGCATATCCTGACGTCGGGAACGTTCACGATCTGATGGGGGTGGCGAGCTGAGCATAACATGGCCAACGGGTGGTAGATTGTCCACTGGGTACGAGTGGGGTGCATAAGGTGCCGAAGGACCCCTCCGCGAACCTGAATGCGACCGTTCATGAGGTGAATTTACGTGAGAATGGTGGATGGTTGGACTTGTCGTATGAGAGTGAGAACGAGTCGAGTGGCTTCGTCCTGGTTCCATAGGGGGCTGCATGGGAGGTAAAGGGGGTATTGCACCGAGACGCGCGTCGTGGGCTGGTGGAACACCTGCTGAGCTGCGCCGTGTCGAGCGCATCGAGGACGTTGCCGGCGCGACTGCTGGGCCTAACGACGGATCAGCGACGGGCACAGGGCGACCGTCCGGGCCAGCAACGACCCTTGCATTGCCATGAATTCGCATATACTCGACAAGACCAGGATCATGGTCTATGGGTGGCCCCTCGCGGTGATGGTGGGAGCTGGGCAGGGGCTGGCCCTGAGGGGCGATAGGAGGGAGCGGTTGGCGATCCTGCAATTCTGGCGAGTGCGGGTGAGGCGCGACCGAGAGGCGTTCATAAAGAATTCTGATGAAAAGATTTACGGAGGAACTTTTAGACATACGGAGAATGGAAAAAAGAAAATGAATATTGTGACTCACGCCCTCTCGAGCTTCATCCGTTGGATATTTCGCTTGGCCTGCATAACCTTAAGCTGTAGTTTATCATTGTCCTTTCCGACAAGTCAGCGACGGAAAACATATGAAACACGTTTTAGCACGCACCGACTCAATTTCCTTGACTTTTCTTTTCAACTCCTTGTATTTGTTGTGGTACTTGGCATCTTCAGCGCCAGCGGTGATACCTCCCGAGTATGGTTTTGGTTTTTGTTGTTTTGCCGACTGAATTTGCCCTTGAGCCGGGTTGGAGAGATGCGCATTTCCCGGTGAGGGCTGTCTGGACATGATGGTTCGAAAAAAAGAACCAGGGCCAGATTGCTGGCAGGTGATGGATATTTTCGGCGCCAAATTCTCGCTACGAAGGTGTTGTTGCCTTTTTTAGGAAGAGCTTAGGGCCAAAGACTCGAACTGATGGTGTACTTGGTAGCATGACGAATCCCCGTCGGACAAAATCTTTACGCTATTATGTGTAAAGATTGCTCCAACAGCTACCCATCATATGCAACCAAACGGTCGTTTCCCTTTTGCATTCCTTAGACAGCCCGGGACTTCTGCCTAGCCCTGAAGAAAATTACGAATTCGAATTCTCGATAATGATTACACCGAGTGTTGACCACAAACCGCTTCCATCCATAGCTGTAGCGACTCATGGCCGACCGAGACGCCAGCGCCATGATACATATCTCGATATCTAAGTAAGCTACGTACAGATGCATATGCGACTGTTGCCGCTGTGCAATTGATACGAATTACATTCCGACAATGATTCCGTGCCGGCAGATCAGCAAATCAGACGCGGCAAATTTCGGAATCAGTATCTCGAGTCGTCAGTCACCGTCACATCATTTGTGATTGCTCACGTGACACCAAGGTTAGCCAGTTACCACCACCACCGTTGTGGTCGCCACTGCTGTTGTTCTAGTCACTCTAATTGTCTATCAGCCAGTGAGCTTAGCCTTCTGAACTTTTTCGTTGCTAGTATGCTCAAAACTATTTCTAGTGTCGATCCCATATAGACAGTATGCGCACGAATCGGCACCATTTGAACCAGCACTAACTCTAGCAATAGGGATATGCCCCCACCGGGCGGCTTTGAGTCCGTCAAGTACAAACGGAACTTGCCTTTTCGTGGACCCGGAGCTCTCGCCATTCTGGGCGGTGTCACGCTTGTCTCCGCGTATGGCTTCTATCGATTGGGTAAAGGAAATCTGGAGAAACGGTATGTGACCACTGTTTGCGCTACTTCCACCGAAGTGCAGACGTCAGCTGAACGTGGAACGTGTTCATTTGGGTCGCGCTCATCGATAAACGTGGCTCTTTGCTGGATCCGTCCGCCCAATGGACGCTTATCTGCACTGGATCGTCCGGTCCGTAATGAAGGAACACGAATCTGATTCTTCTTTTTATTGTTGCTTTATTTTAGGGAGCTAGAGAGAGAAAAGGTCTGGTCACGTATCCACTTGGTTCCCCTTCTACTGGCCGAGGGTGATCGCGCCGCGTACGCTCGCCACCAAGCGGATATTACTTTAGAAAAGGCTATCATGAAAGACGTGGCTGGTTGGGAGGTAAGTGTCTGCCTTGAACCGATGAAGCCGTGATTGATTTGCGATCCGTCATTTCCGAACGGCACTTCTAATCGCTATTCATCTTTACCCTACTCTTGCGCAATTCGGGCAGGCTGGTAAAAGCGTCTACAACAACTCGAAATACGAATCGCCACGGATTAACATATCGTAGTGATGTATTTACTTCCGAACACCGATGCATTGACGTCTTCCATTAGAGCCTGAAATTAAGAAAAGAGACTCATGGCTGCGTATCAACGACGTACTGTTGATCTTGAGTGATGGACTGGATATATTGGACAGATTCGATGCATTTGATGCATAGTGTCGAAAGGAGATAGTCCTTTGAGGGACAGAGAAGGCCGAGGCGTCGATGTCCAAAAACAGACAATGGCCATAAGGCCGGAAATGCCCGATCAACAGGGTCATATATACCAAATTGGGCTGAAGCGTGGGAAGGGAAAGTACGGGTTTTGCGTTTCTTCCGTTTCAGCCACACTTGCACTAGTCTCCCTGTTACTGAATTCGCGCGGCATCTGGACGTCTGGTGATTTGTTTTCGGCGCCTGGTACAGCACCCAGGAATCGGACAATTTAGCGGGTAAGACTCGGACATCGGCACTGTGACGGACGAAGAGTACTAATTGGGTGTCAGTATTACAGGCATTTAGAGGCAATTAGAGGTGTGTTCGGAGAATTGGAGGTTTTACAATTACTTACGGTGACTTTCCGTCAGTGACGGTTGATTGGTGTTTGTTTACACACTATCGGTATTTATCTGGATCTATCACGCGAAACAGTCCTCCGGACACCGACATATGCTCTGTCACCTCGCATCAGTTGGTGCTAAAATTGGGACTTTTCTTCGATAACCTGATCAGGACAACGGTGAGAAGCAACAAAGACCTCCTGTCTCCCCTTCCTTACGCGGCTCGGGGGGCAATCTTGGCTTTTATCGTGACTGATTCATGTCGAGTCAGTAACATACACAGGAATGGAAACATTTCGAAGGCCGCTCCGGATTCCTCATAAGCTCAGCTTCCGACTCCTCAGGGCGTTTTCTTGTGCCCGAACTTCCTCTTGCGTGACTGCGCCACGTATTTTTAAGCGCTACAGCCTGCGGTTATCATCTCCCCCCTCTCCTCCATCCCCTGCCATGCCTGCCCCAACTCTACCTCGCAGACAGTTTTCCCCCCTTCCCAGGAATACCCTTTATCCTGGTGACATACCCATGATGAACGCGAAACCACTTGGCTTTGACGACAACCACTTTGTCAACCAGGATTCTGACCAGATGCTTTTTGACTTTGACGACGTGTCATTTCATGAGCAATCTAGTGTCCAGTTCCCTTGGGACCTGCACGATATCGATATGGACTCTAAGCCCGTGTTCGATATGCACACTTCCCCGCGTTTCGGTTTCCAGCAGCCCACTGACAACATTTTTGATTCCACGGGATTTTTTGCTCCTGAAGCCCTCGATAATTCCCCCTCATTCGACAACAATCTCTATTTATCCAACTGGGTACACGACACTGACTTACCCTCCCCATCTTCCCCCATATCTATTCCCGCTTCTACACCGTCTCCGCCGTACATTCCTTTCGCTGAGCGATCACCTTATGCCGCAGACAAAGCCTACTCACCTGCAAACTTTGCTGCTCTTCATCATCTTCCACCTTCTGCTTCCCCTGCCTCATCCTTCGAGGACATTCACTCCTTTGAACGTTCCCGTGTCGATTCCATTTCTCCCAAAGAAGTTTCGGCAGTGACGCCAGCCTGGGCTTCCCAGCTCTGGGATGCACCGAGACCGGGTCACATTCGCTCTTCGTCCTCTCGTTCCCCCGTTCGACACTCTCCCCTCTCTCCCACCAATACCCAGCGATTACGTATACCCAGACGCGACACTGTTTCTCCAGTCAATATGTTCCAGTCAGCGAGCGCCCCTGCCTTGACCCTTGCCCCGGGCATGGCTCGGGCGTACAGCAGTGGCAAAGCCGAGTCAGGCGGCGTCACCGACCGTGACGCGACCATCCGGCGGAAGAGAAAGACGTCAGATCCCGAAGAAATAGAAAATAGACCCAAGGATAGCGACTCTCGTATGTCATCTACTCCCGCAGTGACTGCTTTAACGAATGATTGACATTTGTATTTAGCTCCGTTAAAGTCCGTGCTACGTCCTCCAAAGTTAGCTCCTTCGGCTTGGCAGCTATACTTCACGGACTGGATCCAAAGGCAGCAGGCATCTAACACACGTAAGCTTAATGTTGCACAAGCTGCTAAAGAAGCCGGGCAAGAGTATGCAGGGCTTAGTGCTGAAGAGAAAGAGGTGTGTGATCATGATCCATTGTCTGACGTCATTCAATCTAATGCTTCATTAGCCCTATAAGCGACGCTCTCAGGCTATGAAAGAAGCCAGGGAGCGGGAGCTCGCCGCTTACATGCGAACTCTCACTCCCGACGACATCAAGCGCGAGAACGCTTATCGTGCTGCCCAACGGAAAGCCGGGAAATCGCGAAAGAGTAACATCAAGGATCCTAATGCGCCAAAGAAGCCTCTGTCCGCATACTTCATGTTCCTTCAGCGTATCCGGGCGAACCCGCACTTGGTCCAGGAGATCTTTGGTGATGAGACGGAGACGACGAAGCAGAGTGTTCTCGCTGCAGCCAAATGGCGATCGATGACCGATGATGAACGCAAGGTGTGTTGAACTTGATGTTCACCGATTATTGTGACGTTTTCTCATTACGGCGACTTGGCAGCCGTTCCTCGCTCAGGCCGAGCAGGAGAAGATGGAATACGAAGCCGCACGGAGGCTGTACGAAGAAGGGGCACCAGCCTTCGGAACGACAATCAATTTTAGCATCTTACCTGGCAGTCCGGCGTTCCGAAATGTCAAGGTGGAGTCAGAGAGTGAGAGTGAGGGTTACACCGATGATGGTGGCTACGAACGATTCACTCGATGATGGGTTTTTACTTTTCTTCTTGATGATATATTCCCTGTGAGAGCCTTTGGCTCGCTGACGACCACTCATGCCCTTTCTATTATACGTACGCCCTTCGAAACGATCTTTTGCTTATTGTGTGTTTCGAGTATTTTATTGCTTCGAACAATCTTCGGACAGCACTGTATAATGGGAATACCTATGCACCCCACTTATGTATTGTTAGCACATATTGCATCTCCGTATATCTGACGAATACAACTTTATTCAATCAGAAGGCTTTGGAGCAATCAAAGGGAGTTGCAGGACCATCTTCTGATGAGGTTCACCGTCCTCATCAAACTCGGCACCCTAAAATGATAAGATAGCCATGAGGCGACACCGGAGAAAGACGACGGCTTCTTGACATACCTCTGGTATATACCCAAACCTGGAAGAGGAAATATATTAGACCATGCTCCGATGTTCGGCGGAGAACACCTACTTGGCGTAAAACCCCTTGACAGGTATCTGAGAATGGGACACGACAATCGCGTATACGTCATGCTCGGCCATAGTGGCCATGGGGCTCGCGTCAATTTTGACCCACTCATGCAAGCGCAATACGAGTTCCTTCCCAAACTTGTACTTTCGATACTGGTCGAGTACAGCAAGTCTACCAAGCTTGTAATAAACCTCGGATAATCTGACTCCGCGGATGGTTCCGACTGGCTGGAGAGAAGGAAGTAGCCGCAGAAGGAAGTGAGTTGCAGCCTGAGGGCTATCGAACCTGTTGGAACATCAGTCAGAGAAGTAATACGGTCAACTAAACGAAAGAGGGTCCCAGTAACTCGTCTATTTCGGTTTCAAGGGGAAATTTTTGCTCGTGATGGAAGACCTGAATTCGAACATCAAGGCATTGCTGAATGTGTTCCTTTGTGGTGGCGATGATGATTTCGTGGTCTAGAACGCGGTCGACTGCAGGCATAGTCGGCAGACGTTGAATGGTGGAGTGATGGTGATCTATACGGTAACAAGAGCCAGGGGAAGTATGGTGCGCCGCCGACACTGTTCGACCTCTCGTGCAGGAGATATATGGGTAGCTATAGCACAAGTGTGAATCGGTATCCGAATGAGTTACATGGTGACCGGCGCAAATACCTAAAATTAGAATATAAATTGGGGGACACGGGGGAAGTACGGGGCAGAGAAAGAAGACACCGGGACAAGCGAAGGGATGTAGAGAAGTGCGGTAAATATGAACTATATGAAGTTCATGAACAGAAATGAAAAAACGGGAGTATTACACTGTCAGAAAGCGGATCGAAGCGGGGAAATCGCGTCACGTCACAGTGATGCGTTCCGTGACCGTGACATCGTCGTCCTTAGCAAAGTTTTCTTTTGCAATCAGTTGCCGAATATACTGGTCATTCGTTCAATCACCTCTCATTATTCGCCTGCAGGTATCCCAGCCACTGTTTCTATTACCTTCGCCACACTTTCTAATAATGGCTCTGCAGATACTCGTCTACTTGGACGAGTGGGTACATGCTGGAACCCGTTGCAACCGCACTTTTCACTTCTGTCCTTGGTGGCCATATAGGACAGCCGTCTGCGTTCCAGGCTGCTGCTCGATTAATGCGACGTTCTTCGGCAAATAATTTGACGTCTGATTTCTTTATTCCGCAACCAAGACGCGTCAAGGACAAGGGGAAAGCAAGGGCAACGGGGTTCCAGTTCGAGCAACACGAGTGCACCCCGGATCGTTTGTCGCAATGTCGAGAATGGTCGTGTATGGCCCGGCACTCGATATGGTGTTCAAGTGAGTCCGACGGATTCTTCTCGCCTGCTAAATTCTCATCTACGCCATGTTAGATCACCATCGACGGCTTCTGATGAAGGAGTTCCCTTTAGTTGAAGACATCCCGTTCAGAAGTCGAATCTCCACGCGAATTCCCGCCACCCTACATTCATATTCTTCTCGTCGTGTCGCTGTCCGTGCTCACGATGGGCAGAGAAGACATGTTTCGCGTACTTCGAAGACCGGGCCGCCGTCTGAAGATTCCGGAGTTTCTTCTGTCGCCGACGAAGGTTCTGCAGCTGTTGATGCATCTCTCACACATCCGGAAGTGGCGTCTGAGATTCCACACGACTCTTCCGATTCTCGGTGGGTTCTACCATCGCTTCTCCTTCCGCCGGATAAGAGCGCACAAGTAATACATTCCCTTCACCGTGTTACACTCAAGCCTCCAGACGACTTTGACATTGAAGAGGCCTGGACAGTGTATGGGTCTGTGATTGAGGAACATGCAAAACATCTAACAAGCGTTTATCTCCTCCTGCAACTCGTGGAGCACATGTTGTACACGACTGGAAAATGGTACGACTCAAAGACCGGACTAGAGGCGCTTCATCAATGGGGGGACCGGATAAAACATCTCTTGCGAACCCTGGAATCTCGGATATTGTCCCCTTCTCGGTTTCACTATACACACTGCTGTCTCGCCGCACGTGCACATGCATTAACCGGTGAATATGAGCTCGCGGCGCAGTACCTTCAAGCGGCACGGGCGTACAGGGAATGCTCGCCGGTGGACCTCATTGCGATGTACCAGAGCATAGTGCTGTCGAAATTTCGCTATTATGATGTTCGTCAAATGGTCGCATACCTGCTTGCTGAATGGGACGACGTAAGCGCATATCTCGCCGTACCTCCACGCGAACCATTTCCCCCCAACCCTGTCCGGCGCGCATGGACACAGTTTTTCTTCGCAGTGACGGACCTACTATGCCGTGTTCCAGATGCAAAAGTGCTTTTTGCCCCGGAGGCGCGTCTAGACGTTATTCAGAAGCAGCGTATAGGTAACTTATCAATCCAAGCGCACTGCGCTCGTCAGCGGCCCCTGCATGCTTGGGAGGTGTTTCGTGCGATGCGCTCCCAAGGCCTCGCCCCACAGCTGGAGACTCACCTTGCTCTCGTCCGTGCTTTAACGAAAGAGGAAGCGATGGGTCCTGCGAAGAAGGCCTTCTCTTACCTTGACGAAACACATGCCAAGCCCTACCTGTCAACTGCACTCTATTTGTGTGCCCATGACGGCGACTTTGAACGCGCGGAAATTTTTTTTGACCAGCTCTCACAAGACGATCTGGTGACGAGGGAAGATACAGCCATGTTGATGCATTCGTACGCGGTACACGGCAAAGTCGAGCAGGTGTTGCACTTGTTTAATGAGTTTTTTCCTGCGTTTGTGAATAGCCGCGGGCAACAAAGGCGAGCAAATGATCCTCGGAATGTCCATTACGCTACTGTGCTGTATGCTTATGCACGTAACACCGACCTCGGTGGCATCGACCAGTGGTTGGGGGTCATGCATGAGGCAGGTATCAGGGTCAATGTGGTCATGTACACTATGATCCTCCAGGCCATGGCCGTTAAGGGAGATCTCGAAGCCCTAGGACTTGCGATGAAGCGGATGCAAAGCTCTGGGATGAAGCCTACCGTCGCTACGTATACGACCCTCATTTCGACGATGGCCAAGATGCAGGATCCGCTTACTGCTGAGAAGCTCTACAAGAAGGCTCTGGAAGATGGAATCAAGCCGAATTCTCGGATGATCAATGCACTCATGACTGCTCATGCTGAAGCGGGGTCATGGAGAGGCGTTATCAAAGTATTCGACTATGTCCGTTCGATTCCCCATATACCATTGACCATCGACATCTGCAATATCTTACTCAAAGCCTATGTTCGGATCGGAGCACCGTTCCGTATCGTAGCGCGGCTATTCACGAAACTCCAGCAATCCTCTATCACTCCTGACAAGTACACTTATGTGCTAGTCATCCTCGCTGCATGTGATGCGGGTCTCATGCCAAGAGCCACGAAGCTGTTTGAAGAGATGGAGCGCCTGGCAACATCTGCCTCCGACATCAAAGTTACTGTACACGTTATGACGATGCTCATGGGAGGCTGGCTTCGGATGAATAAAAAGAAGAAAGGAAAGGCTGTATACGACATGATGGTCTCGCGGGGGATCCAGCCCAATTCGATCTCGTTTGGGGAGATCCAGAGTGCATATGGTATGGAACGCTCGGACGAGGGCCTCAAGCTCGCGGAGGAATTCATCGACACGCTGATGAGTGCACCACCGGAGCACCGGACGTGGTTAGTCTCCCCGCGAAGAGGCAAGACGTCTATGGACCACATCTATGCGCCGGTGCTGTGGGGGTATTCGCGCAAGGTCCAACCAAGGGATGTAGAACGGATGTACCAGCACATGTTGGACCACGGTGGCACGCCGTCATTGGGAATGGTCACTGCGCTGATGGACGCCTATAGGAGGACGATGGATATCAACGCGGTGCTTCAGGTGTGGCCGCAGGTGTTCCAGCTGGGTTTACAGCTTACTCAACGGACAAGTGTGTTTGGGTTGGATCAGGACGGCCGGGGCCAAGTGAGAGTTCGCGGAGACGTGCTGAGTATTCCACTGTCGATTTACATGGATGCTCTCTCCCGTGCCGCCCTTTTCACCGAGGTTGCCGCAATCTGGAAGCGCTTCCAGGATTACCATTTCGTGTTTACGTCGCACAATTACAATCACCTCATTATCGTTCTTCTTCGCGCGGGAGAGATCGAGCGAGCGTTTGAGATCGTGGAGAAAGTGATTTTACCATATCAGCGCAAGTACAAGGTGGTGGAGAACGAGCGAGATGAGCATCCGGAGACACCACTGGCGTTTGAGGAATATGATAAGATACTGGAACAAGAGCGCAAGGGTGACTGGGGCAGGGAGAGGAGGGAGTCAGGGAAGATGCATGTCGATATGTTCAAGCGGGAACCGTGGACGGAGCAGATGATGGTAGAGAATGCGCGAGAGTACGACTACGCGCACCCACTTCACATCCTGCATCAAATCTCCCCTGGATGGAATATATGGCGGCCTCACCGGGGGGCGATGACCGCGCTGCTGATGGTCTTGTTAAGACTGAAGGCAGGGCTGCTGTTGGAGGCAATGGCTTTGCATAAGCGCAACCCCGACGAGTTTCCGGCGCAAGGCCGTGAAGAGCTTCTGGCAGAACGCGAGGAGAGCGAGGCACTTCTGAACAGTCTGCATGGACAGTTCCCCGATACTATCGAACAACTTAGGGTGTTTGAAATCAAGGAGAAGAGTCGGTTGGTGAGCGGCTTCGATAAGAAGTATAGGCAGTTCGTGCCCAGATGATTTTGATTTGTTGGGTTGGTGAAAAATTGGTGGGCTAAGAGCTCAGAATCCATCATCGGCTTCCCAACTGGTCATCCTGCCGACAGTGCTTGCGAGGCGATTACGCCCCAGTCGTCGGTCGAGAGGAGGTCAGACAGTGAGGCCGACGGGTGAAAGGAGGGGTGCTTAAAATTTACTTGTAGAAAAGTAAAGATGCGAATAAACTACTACTAGTCGGGAGGCAGGTGTACAATTCGGAAGATAATTTTCATCGTAACAATAGCTATGGGGAGGCAAACAAGAACCTGGTTCCATTGGTTTCAAAGCATTTCGTCACAATACGTATACGCTGAGCCACGTAAGTGGATATTTACAGCTCGCTGACTGACATCCAATAGCCATAGTTAGCTAAACCGCTGTATCTTTCCCGATGCGATCCATATTCCGGGTAATTGCTGAGGAGTAATAAGATGGTATATTTGGATTGAATGACTAACAGCTTATATGTTATTCAGCACATTGCCTTTTGTTTCGCGGAAGTCATTTTTATGATAATCATGGACCTTGGACCTTGACTAGTAGCCGAATGGTGCCGCCGCAGAAGGGCAGTTGGATTACAAGTACGCAGTATGGATGAAATATGTCTTTTAATATGTCAAAGGCCTTTTGACGAAACCCGCTTCTGACATACTTAGCGTCTCCCAAGTTTCTGGGCGGGAGTCTATACATATATATGCGATAAGTATAGCGGATCTGCGTTTACACGAACATTAGTTTCTTGTTCCTGATAATAGCGCCAACATATGCGCATTCAGTTTTCCCGAGTCATTGGTATCAATCATCCTGTGCTGGGGTCCTTGTGGTGACAGGATCAGTGGAAACTTCCGAAGGATAAGCTGTGGTTGAGCTGTGGAAACTCGGACACGGATGCCATAACTGTTACTAATAGTGCCTTTCCATTCTTCGTGACAAATATCGGTTTGAATTGGTGTAAACAGCAGAGATATATTGATAATACATACATGAATTGGCGCTAGGCTCGGAGCCGCCGGATACGGGCATCAAAACGAATTACGTACAGAGTCTACAGACAGGAGCGTCGGTGAATAGCCCCACAAAGACGTTTATACTTGTCAACTACGATCACGTCAAATTCAAGGCTGAGTCAATTGAAGGCGAGGGTTACAGCCATACCTAAAGCGCCCGAAACAAAAGGAATACATGCAAAAAAGCCGACTGCGCTGCACATGGAGGTGAAACGTATCGCATCAGAGCTTCTCCCGGTAAGAGACAGTTCTTGCCCATCCATGAATTTTCGCTGAACTCCAAGTCCCAATCATTGACTTGACATATAGCCTTTTACTCCTCCTTCACTCCGCCCGAGAGAAGTTGCCGAAAGTATCGGAAACAGCCTAACTTGAGCGCTTCCTATCACCGATTGAACTAGGGGCAGTCCAGGTGGGACCTCGCCACTTTGCCAGCTCCTTCGAACCGGTTAACTATGTCCGTCCCGGTAGACTATGTCCGCAAGGACCAAGTTCGATCTGAAATCTACCCGCGATGTCTCTTTGCCTTCACCGTGATTGGGACCTTTGGCTGGAGCTGACGGTGCTTTGTGGTTTCCGGAGAATTTTGGAGTGTTTGCCTTGATTGCTTCACTGACATAGTATGTTCTGGATCTGCATTTACTCACAGTAGACGCCGGGGTAAAGGACCCCCTATCAAAGGCATTGAAAGGCACACCTTTGCACACGTCTGTCAGTAAACCACCTCCGGGAATGTGTTGAGTTTCCTCGTATCTGGAATAGATACATAGGCCTGATTTGGGAAGTCAATACGATCTTCCTCTAGTGGATTCGGGCCTTCACCACCGCTCATATGGCGACTGAGTAGACGCTACATTTCTAGATGCACAGTGTTGTCTTGGGATGATCTGGCTGCGATACCATCCTGCCTCTGCGACCCAAAAAAAGTAAATCTGCACCAGAATCGACTTGGCCGGTTGCTAGTTTGCCAACAAGAACAGGTAGGCGCAAGCATCCTACACCACATGGCGCAGTGGAGGATCCGATGGACGGTTGCGCGAGAATGAATACTCTATATGCAATAACTGCGCTCTGAAAAGGATTGGTCATCACCATCATGCTATGTTCGGTCGTCTTTACACCAGTCGAGGAAACTCGCTGAAAAATAACGCTTCTTCCGCAGTAACGGTGCTCTCTTCTCGAACTTTTTGGGAAGAACAAGCGATTTTCGGTTCTTCTTGAAGGCAAAAGTTAGGAAGAGTACTTTATCTCAATATCGCTTGCAATTTCTAAGGCGGAGAGGATGGTACGTGTTGAGGAGTGAAAGGAAAAGGAAGTATTGCGCATGGAGCCACCGCAAGAACAGGTAAAATGAAGCTTCTTGAGGACGAAACCTTCAACCTTGGTACACTTTCACTACCAGGAGTAAATGATGCGAGCGAGCACCATTCTATCTGAAGGAACAAGTCGGATTTTGACCCAGGGTTACTTCGCCTAACCTCCATATGCGCATCGACGCCTCACGTCCCCCAAGACTCTAGCTCAAGACTACAAACCTTATAACTGGTGCCATGAAGATGGGGTGGCAAATCATTTCACGTAAGGGAAAGAGAAAGCATGTAAATCCATTTTCACGAATCCGTTATAGACGGGGGAATGGAATAGTCCCGCAGATATTGCATTCCTGTGAATACGCGTCCTGAAAGGGGCACCGGTACATGTGGTCGGGTAAGAGAGAACAATCACCGATTGGTGGAGAGGGTGTCCTATCAGAGAGTAGAAATAAAGTTGACTCTAGCACTAGTTCTTTTGCAGGAGAGAAAGGCACGAAAAAGACGATGGTCCGTAAAACGTCAATAGCATTCAGGAAGTGGCGGAGCGGCGTCCAATCAATAACGCCTAGGACGACGAAACCTTTTGACCTTCTTAATAGGGAACTTTTCTGTTTCCCACTGGTGTACTGCCCTAGGGTTCTGGCGTCTACGAACAAATATAGTTATCTCACTTTGAGAAAGATGCCTTTCTGAAAGACAACCTGGCTGTAAGTCATGTACAAAATTTCTTATCACGCGTCATGAAGGGAAATCGTACTTAGCCGCGCATCTAAGCCCTGGACATTAAGAAGACACCCGTCAGACTTAACAAGACTACAGCACCCCCCCCCCCCTCTGCTAGGCCTAATTTGGTAGCGCGGGAGGGGGGGAAGAAGGGGGGGGGGGGTTTGGTGCGGGTTTCGCGGCGAGGTGAATATACACGCGTTTTCACGCGAATTTCTAGTTACCTTGGACAAATTCGTAGGTCAGGGGTGTTGTCTTGAGAGTAAGAGGGGAAGGCATTCGAAGATTTCTAAAAAGGGTTTCAGAGGGAAGAGAGCGCCACTCGCGTGGATGTACCCAAAGGGAGGAGTTATTCGCCTTGTTGCATGGAGTTGGGGAACGTAACCTTGGCAAGGCTCTAGACATTTGTGTGGCGTGGGCAGAGAGAAAACACCCATAATTCTCTTCGAGTGCGTAAAAGGGATTGAAGGCTCCATGGTGGCTCGGCAGAGGAATATTACCTTGGTAATCGCACAGAAAGAGGCGGAGCGGCGTCTATTGAATAGCACAGACACTAAGCTGTTCCGACCTTGATTTCCTATGATGATGAGTTAATCCGATACACGGATATCATCGCACGTCTTTCGAACGAGTTCTTGCATAGTGGATGGGCACAAAAATCGGGGGAGATAACCGTCAGTCCCATGCTTGTGACAAGACAGGTAACCAGGTGTTAAATAACCCTAAATTCAAACCAAGCATTGAGAAGACGCGGGGATGAAAGCACCCATCGGACAGAACACCCCTGCCGCGCCCAATTTCCATCCTGCCCGTTGGGAACGGATGGTACGGGTCTATTCACCGTGAAGTGAATAATATACACGCGTCTGCGGGCGATTTTTGGGAAAGCACCCGTCAGACTTGACAGGTCTGATTTCTTTAACACCGCTGTGGGTACATCATATAGCACGGGGGAGCGCTGCGGGCAATGAGTTCTTCTCGCCGTGAGGTGAATACGCCCGCGTCTGCAAGCGGATTTTCAGTTACATTAGGCGAATTTGTGAAACAGAGGTGTTGGACTTGAATAGGGACCGGAGAGTTAGACGAGAAGGTGTTGGTTAGTTAATGCGGGGTATATCTGGAAGGGAGTGTCGTTTTTTTGACAGCTCAGATAAGAAGTTCCCTGTTTCCCAGCCCCAGCCATACGGCTGGTTCTTGAGAAAATAAATATTGAAAGCACACCCGATGCATTTGAAGTTCTTCATCGGTAGCTGAGTGGGTCATGGAAAATCCGGGCCAGGATTCAATGGTACACGGATATCATGGACCGAAGCATAGTGAAGTCGATAGCAGAAAATCGACTAGGTGAAGGGAATGAACGAACCCCCAAGCTGGCGCGTGATGCGAGGTAATCGCATGATAAAGGGTAACGTTTCTTCCGACGATGAATTTTAGTTCTAGATGTAATGGAACTTCGAGAATTTCAATGAAATCCTACCTGGGCAAAGGCGTATGGCAAGTAGAACCATCTTTCGCGGAGACATGAGAAGAAATTATAATAGGTCCACTCACAAAAATCAGCGAGACACATCTGTATTGGTACTTGGAACTAGACGGGCAGACGGAGCTGGGAGCGGTACTGACCATGAGAGGATGCGGGAAAAGCATACCCAACACTCCACTGACTCCACTGATGTATTACCGCCGCGAATATGAATAGAATTTATTAGCACCGGGGGATGGTGCGTGTCTGCAAAGACTCGGGGGAGGATTCGACGGTAGACGAATATCATAGCACGGTAGTCCTTATTGCACAGTGAATTCGACAGCAAAAAACTCGGACCGAAAAGCCCTCAGGCTAGCGCAGAGTGATGTGGGGTAAGGGTAAAGTTGCCTCCGACGTTGGTTCTAGATGTAATATAATTGAACGAAAGCCTGCCTGAGTATCGTATGGCAAGTGGAACCGTCTTGTGCAGAACCATGAGAGAAAAAATCGTGTTTGGTTCATTCATAAAATCAACGAGACGAGACGGCCGTGCCTCGAACTGGATAGGCAGGCAGACAAAGCTCAGGAGCGGCTTGGATCATGAGAAGACAGGGAGAGCACACCCAGGCCCAATTTATGTATTGCCGCCGTGGATACGCTTCGAGTTTAGACTGAAGCGTGCGAGTTGTTTTGGTTACCACGGACCATTTTGTGGATCAGGGACGTCGTCTTCATCTGACGACGACTCCAGATGCCTGAAAATAGATTCATGCAAGGTCTGGAGGATTGTTTTGGATAATACAGAGAGTGAGGCCTTTTCTTAGTGCATCCTGTTGCCCAGCCAATTCT